TAATTTTTTTTAAATAAATAGTTAGTTTCATAGTTTTTATACTTTTATTATTTATGTGTTTTATTAACTAAATATACATTAGTAATAAAAAATAAGATTTTAGTGGATATATAAATATCTATTATTCAATTTAGATAGTTTGATTGATTGTTATTTTTTTATAGGTATGGTATTCATCTTTGATACTGTTTGTGTATAAAAAAAAATCATCCGCAACCAAATACATTTTATTTTAAAAATGCCGCCATTGTTTTCCAAACAAATAAAAATACGCAAGCGCGTAACCCTGTCAGTTGTCAGATTTGAATTCAGACAAAGTTAACGTTTGTTTGTTGTTTTTAATCTAACTTTGCTGTTTTATTCTGTTGAGGCAAATCCATACTTTTTCGTTTATTCCATTTACCATTAATTTTCAAGATCCATTAAAATGTCAGATAAGCTGCTTAATGTGAGTTTTTATAATTTAGCATTCTTCCCTTGATCCCAATTTACAATTTTCAGGAGCTCAGATCCAGTTTGGAATATTGTTTGGAAGCAAATCGGAAAGCAACGTTCAAAAAGTGGGTTTTCAGTGACAATGTTCAGTGCAATGCAGCAAAGGTAATTTTTCTACAAACTCTAAAAAAGAGGTTATGATTTGTTGTTTATAGTTAGCAGAGGCAGGATTTATATTCGTGGGAAATTCACGAGAACCAGATACTGTATCATGTTTTCTTTGCAACAAGTCTCTGGATTGTTGGGCCAAGGATGATGATCCTTGGTCAGAACACTTGAAGCATGCCCCAGACTGTTCTTTTGCCAAGAAAAACAAGCCTGAGAAATCGCTTACTCTCTCAGAATTCATCGATATTAGAAACGAATTAATTGAAAGCATTATAGATAAGGCATGCCAGAATAGTTTAGAGAATGTTACTCGAGGAGTTGATGAAATTTTAGAATTAGTGGCTGCTTTAAAGTAATTTTTACAAAAAGACGTAATTAGAAATAAGGTGGATGTGTGTGCCTATTTAATCTCCAGTATTTTTTAGATAACAGTAAAATATGTTTCTTATCTGTTTTTAAATATTTTTATCAAAAATCAAAACCCTTCAAATTTACATTCAGATCTACAGATTTCTGTAGTATTTGGAATTTTTCAGTCATTATGATATTAACGTTTTGTGTTACTTTGGGCTCTCTTGTAGCACCCCGATGTACTTTAAAATGCTACACGTCTTCAATTGGTGAGCAAGACATTGACACATGTGTTAATATACCTGAGACAACAACTCCATGTCTTCAATTTTCAAGTTTTTGATCAAATTGAATTCTGATTGTCGAATTAAGTTGGCACCATTGAATAAGATGAATGTGAATCACGTTAGTTTTGATTTTTCTGTCTCTGTATTATTAAATATTGGTAACATAATTTCAAACTCACAGATCAAAACGCGATTGGTTTGATTCGAGTCAGGTGAACCGAAAATTAATGTATGATTGGCAGATTCAATCACGTGAACCATTTTTTGTTTTTTTTACGCGTGGAAGGGTGTCCTTTGAAATTGTTTGTACGTAACAAAATATTTACATAATTTTGGTATTTCAACAATTGGAGTCAGTTTGACGGTATTAGTTTCAGATTCTATTTTGTTTTTTGACTTTGAAAAAGGAAAGAGAAACTTCTGTAAAAAATTTAATACTAAAGTACAAAAAAATAAATAATAGGGTTGCAAATATTTCAATTCTTTCTCCCCGACCCCGTAACTGATCCATTTTTCTTGCCGCTGGAGCTACTCTTAGGACTCGCGTTAACTGAGCCATTTTTCTTTTCACTTGAGTCATTTTTAGTACATGCTTTAGGTTCCGGACTTTTTACCCCATCTCCCATTCCATCAGTGTGCTCATAAACTGGCTTTTTCGTGCAAGGACATTGACAAACACACTTCTTTTCACCTTCCCTACTATGATCACTTCTCGCTGTTGGTAGATCTTGTATGACTTCATCTTTCGTTTCAACCTTTTGTTCTTTAGGTGGTTCTGCTCCTTCAACAATTTTGTCCTTAGAAGATTGAACCAAATCTTGTGGAGACTTCCATATAAAGATACTTCCAGAACCACTTGTCGTCACAATATATTTTTGATCTGGACTAAACCGAGTTGCTGTAATGACAGCAGAGTGGCCTATTCCAATGTGAGTAGCAATACCTAAAAAATGAATGATAGTTGTTGATACTTATAAATGGTACTTATGATGGTACCAAGTTGGTAATTCCAAAGCTTGACGATTTGATCGTTCCCTCCAGTCACAAAAATGTTGCCATCTAATGATATATCTAGTGCGTTGATGGCACCAGACTCGGATCCTTCGACTTCCCGAACTAGGGTACCATCAAGGACTTCCCAATATGAAAGTTTCCGGTCGGAACCACCGGTCAGGACTTGCACATCAGTAGGATAATACCGGGCACACATAAACAACGTGGTTCCAAACATAATATGCCGACGACATTGACGTATCAAATCCCAGATGATACAAGTACCATCTGTACTGGCACTGACTGCTTCGGTACCAGCTTTGTTAATATCAACAGCAGACACCGGAGCTTTATGTTCTTTCAAAGTACAAATTAACTGCTGGCGATAGGGTGTAACTGACCACATTCTGACCTAAACAATAATTTTTTACGAAAACATTTTTATAATTTGCTAAACTAACTTGTCCTTCGCAACCCCCACTAACTAAAACATCTCCTTCATGTGTGATTGCCAAAGCTGAAACTCCCTTATTGTGGGCATTCAAAATGGCGTAAATCAATCTTCCGGTTAAAGGAGTGAAAGAACGGATAATTCCATCGTTCCAAGCTGTCAAAATCGATTTACCATCGTGGGAAAATACGACACTAGAAGCACTGAAATTTGGTACTTGGATACGGAGGAGTTCTTGGTGGGTTTTGATTGACCAAACGCGGACGTCGTTTTTACTAGCTGTGGCAAACACTTCAGAAAAGTTGCTGAAAATCAAAATTATTTCTCAAGGGCTTTCAATCGTTTTGAACTTACTAAGGAAAGGCAATGTCATAGATAGTCGAGGTATGGCAAGTAACAAGCAACTCTGTATTAAAAGTCGCCATATCAATTTGGTAAATCTCGCAATTAATAGTTCCTGCCAGTATAACTGTATCATTTTTCAAAAGCTGCAAAGAAGTGACTGCTGAAAAAACATTGGTGCTTTTCAGCTGAAACATCATGATTAAAATTTCCATTTGAAACATCGTCTCTCCTTACACAACGCAAAGTCGGCACAGAGGGCACCTTCACCCTCTTACCCTTATCCCCACCCCCTTTACTCTTAATTTCCTCCACCAGCTCCAATGTTCCATCCCCGGCCCCGATCAGCAACGGCCCCGCAAACAGCCTCCTGATCGACTTCACCCCCAAACTATACAAATCCACCTTCCCTTCCGGCAACTTCTTCTTGCTTATCCTCGTGAAGCACCCCACCGTCATGGGATGCTTGGCGGGGATCAGGACATCGGGATCATGGTGGTAGTTTAGTCTGATTTTGAGCACGTCTCCGGTGGCGGTGCCGCAATAGCACACCTCGTCACGCTCGTTGACGTCCATGCAGAGGATGGTCCTTTTGATTTTGCCAGTGCTCACGTCGAGCGAGTGAACCTTCCTCGCCTCCTTGTCCACTGTCCAGACGGCCAGGTGATTGTCTCCCGCTGTCATGAAACACGGCCCGCGTCTGTTCATGCTAAGGATCGTCGTGGCCTCTCCTTGGATTCCGTGCGCCACCGCCGAACCACAAATCACCTGGCCCTGGGTCACGTCCCATACCACCAGAGAGCCGCAATCGCGGCCGCCGATCGAAAATAGGTAGTTGTCGTTGTTGGAGAATGCCACGGCTTCCACCCGGACTTTGTGGAGTTCGTGCTGTGAGACGATGGTGTGGCTCGCGAAGTCCCAAATTATGACGCGGGCCTTTTCAATAATTTAATGTATTTAATAACAAATTTCATCTTTGAATCTCTTTAATTTCAATAAAAAAAAGTGTCAAAAAATATTTAAAAACACATATTTCTGGGTTTTTTTAAACGGTAAATAATCTTAATAAACCGACACAAAAAGTTACATTCTCCTATTTTGGTAAGAGAAAATGAATTTTTGTATAATGTTCTTCGAATTAAGAGTAAGTGAAGAAAAAAGTAGATTTACAAAAAGTAGGTACTACATGTATAAATTGTTGCTGAAATGTTTTATTGTTTTCTTGTCAAAGTTTTAATTGTTATAATTGAATTTTATAATTTTAGGTTGTGTTAATTTTTTTTAACACCATGATATTTAAATTTTGTTAGGTTTGTAATTCTGTAGAAATGAATACTGTTTTTTAAATTGCAAAATAACAACTTAAAAACTCCAAAAGAACTCGAAACTTTTAATCAAAAATTATTATCATTATCTTCCATTTATTCTGTGAAATTATAGCTCCGAATACTATAATAAAAATTTATAATTTGTCTGCAACATTTAATATATTTTCTGTCAAAAACAATTTTTTTCTAATTTGCGTTTATAATACGTTTATTAACGTCTCCAGTAGGAGTCGTTTATGGCTATCTATAAAAACACACTGTACTTTAATGAATTACGGGTTATTTAGTTTTTGGATGTCGCTTCTGACTTGTCAGGTAACAAATTTTGCGTTGTTACTTCGGCAATTTCGCGCGGAATGCAAACTAAATTCTGATTCTCATATTTTATTTATTATTATGTTGTAACACTAATAACTAATAATTTGTAAATTTTATTTTTAATGACAGACGGCAGAAATGACTCAAAAAAACAGGTGGGCGCCGAATGTCACCAACCGATACCAACTAACACAAAATTCTCTAGGCGACAAAAATATATATTTTTTTTATTAAAATAAGAAAAAAAGTGGACGCAAATTAGAAAAAATAGCATAAAATACTCGTTTTATAATGGCATTGGCGCACTCATCCCATAGAAAACTCGCCTACGGCTCGTTTTCTAACTTGGGATTCGTGCCCCAAATCAACCCTTATAAAACTCGTTCTTTAATATACTATTCTATACGTGTAATAATGTGTATGTGTAATAATTGTGGAACATCCTGACATCGATTATATTAATTATCTGCTAATCCAATTCCAAATTGGTGAAGTTATAAAAAAAAATAATTGGCCAAAAATTATGCTCAAACAAAAAAGTAGGTAATGTAAAAAAATCATGTGTACTTAATGGTGACTAAATTTAGCTAGGAGAAGAGAAAAAAAAAGAAAGCCGGATATAAATTGCTTTAAAAAGATAAAAATGGCAAAAGCTAAGACAATGAAGAAAAATGAAGAAAAAAATGAGTAAGGAGAGACTAAAAAAGTTGTTAAAAACCTAAAATTATAAACATAAAGAATTACTCGTAGAAACTATTAGAAAGAGGACGTTTATACGAAGTGATCCAGAAAAACTGAGTCTGTTGGCAACATATTTGAAAGTATTTTTGTTAATAATTTGAAACACTGCAACCGGATACGGTTTTGCTTGACAAGTACTTGACGTACAACCCCACAAGATTGTTGAATTGTTCATAATTAAAAGCGTGGTAAGCTTTAAAAATTAGTGTTGGGATTGCCAACGTACTCAGTCATTGTGGATCGCTTTGTACATAACGTGTTAAAAGAAATAAATCTATTAAAAACGGGAAAAATATGTTAATTGCAAATAGAATTTACTTCTAAAGTTAGAATTCAACTGAAATTCTGAAAACAATTTTACTGTTTTGGAAAATATTTTATATTTTAAAATTATTTCGTAGATTTACAAAATTGATAATTTTGTAAAAAAACACCTTTTCCTCGGTTAAAAACTAAATAAAAAACACGTACGATAAAGCACAATTTCCATACCTTGAACCCAATGTGGTTAATTTGGCCACTGGCAATATATTTTCCGGATCTGGAAACATCAATGGCAGAAATAGTGTTAGTATGACCACTAAGAAAAACTTGGGCTTTAGTAGTCCAGTCCTGGATGGTGACTTTGTTTCCCAAAGGATACACTACGTGTTTTTCATCAGGATGAACGATAAATCCCTTAACTGTAGTTCCTAAAATTTTAAAACCATTGTCTTTTGTGACAACTTAGTACCAATGTTACCATCAAATCCAATAATTCCTTTAATTTCGAGAGTTCCAATATCTCCTTCAAGTTCTTCATCTGACATTGTGGATAAATCTAATTTTTGACCAGTTTTTACTAGAGTTCCTATTTTAGAATATAGGAAAATATAAATATAAAAAATAAATACAATATAGGAACTCTAGTTTTTACTAAAAGCGTAATGTGTCAATGGGGTTGTTATGGTGAAAATTTTGAGAACGTTTTGTCAATAATCAGCAGATGATTAGTCGCTTGATGCCCAAGAGTGATTGATATGAGAAAACTTTCTATTATAGAATCGACATTATTATTTTTATGTAAAATAAATTTTTACAATTACCTTATAAATAATCAATGGAAGACCTTGCAAGATCGCCAGTCATTTATTTGATGAATGTATTAAAAAGAAGGAAAAAGTTGTATTGTTGAGTTACAATTGAATTTCGCGCCACCGTTTGCGATTACGTCCTCTGATTAGAAACATGTGTTGACTGTTGACATTTGTTGATGTGTTTTGTCGTTGCTCTTTGTTTCGTGGGTTTAGCAAAACACATCAATTTTTCCAATTAGAAATTAGAACAGAGGTCCCAGCATCGTAATTCACACTTCTCGTCATTGATAATCTTGAAAATGAGTCAGGACAAAGTGTCGTTGTTACGGGATCCAACTGCAGGTGTTTCAGTCTCACCAGATAGTAGAAGTTATGATTCAGTGGTAAATTTTTATCAGCTCTTAATTTGGTAGAAATAAACACCATTTGAATAGGATCCGCCGTCCTACAGCGCTGAACATGGTGCACAAATTAGTTTTGTTCCTCGACGGTTCCCCCAATACGTGGCCGCATTAACAGGTAAATCTTTGTTAAAAATTTAGAGAAATCGGTAAACTTGTCTGTTGTAGCAACTTTATCCGCCCTTGCAGCCGGGGCCGTCCTTGGGTGGACTTCCCCCATCTTGAACGAAATTCAACACGGTAAATTTCACAATATTACAGTCAACAGCAACCAGATGGGCTGGATTGGCTCGTTCGTCACTCTAGGTGGCATGACAATGTGCATTCCTACTGGTTTTCTGTGTGACCTAATAGGCCGCAAAAAAACCCTACTCCTCCTCATTGTACCTTTCGCCATTGGTTGGTCATTAATCCTTTTTGCAAAATCAATAGTAATGATATATTTGGGTCGCTTGATCACCGGGATGGCCGCCGGCGCTTCATGCGTGGCAGCCCCCTTGTACACCAGCGAAATCGCCCAAAAAGAGATACGCGGCACTCTCGGCAGTTACTTTCAGTTGATGGTAACCATTGGAATTATATTCGCTTATTTGGCAGGAAAATTCCTCACGTCCATGGGGTACACGATTTTTTGCGCCTCTCTTCCGGTTGTTTTCATTGTTTTGTTTGCGTTTCAACCGGAAACTCCGGCGTTTTGTTTGAGGAGTGGGCTCTATGATGATGCTCTGAGAGCATTGGTTAGGTTGAGGGGCCCGTGTGAAAGCAACGAAGCCGAATTGGCTGAAATTGAAGGGACTTTGAAGGAAAGCCTCGAGAGTTCGGTTTCGATATCGCAGACTTTTCAGAAAAAGGCTAATATTAAAGCGTTTGTGATCGCTTTCTCGTTAATGTTTTTCCAGCAGTTTAGTGGAATTAACGCTATTATTTTGTATTCGAGCGATATATTCGCGTCAGCTGGGTCTAATCTCGATGCAAATACTGCAGCGATTATAGTGGGTGCGTTTCAAGCAGTCGCTACGTTTGTTTCGTCTTTAATGATTGATAAATTGGGGCGGAAAATCCTCCTGTTGACCTCATCCATAGTTATGGCTTTTTCAACTTTAGTTTTGGCGATTTATTTCACTTTGAAGTATCGAACGGCCATTGATGGTGCTGTTTTGCACGAAATCGGTTTCATACCGATTGTTTCTTTGTGTCTTTTTGTTGTAGTTTTCTCAATAGGTTTGGGTCCTATTCCGTGGATGATTTCTTCGGAAATTTTTACTCCAGAAATTAAAAGTATAGCCAGTTCAGGTGCTGGTACTTTTAACTGGTTTCTAGCGTTTTTAGTAACTAAATTTTATCTTCAAGTAAACGAATGTGTAGGACAGGATTCTACTTTTTATGCATTTTCGATTCTCTCCCTTTTGGGGGGTGTTTTTGTTTATTTTGTGGTACCTGAGACCAAAGGTAAAACAGTCGAACAAGTACAAGCAGAACTGGAACGTTAAATCATAATTCTTTTGTATTAACTGTTCTTTTCACACAATGTCTCAAAGTACATATATGAATGTTTAAATACTTATGTGTTATATGTACAAATGCCAAACTGGTGCTAATGATAATTAAAATCTTCATTGATTATTACTATGTGCACCAATTCCCAAACGTACAAGAAGTGATGTACTTATTTTAAGTGAAGATTCGTATCAACTGACAAAGTTTTTCATGTAATGTATTAATAAGCCAGGGTAATTAATTAATTAATTATTAAGCATTTAATTACTTGAGTAATTATCATAAGACAGAAATAACCAACGTTTTTATATTTTTTTTTGACAGTAATTGCTTTTTTTGCTTTTATTAAGTAGATATATGATTTTATTCAAAAAATGTCCATTTGTTATTAGTCATTAAAAAATGAATGTTCTCATTTGTACACTCATTGTTTTTAACAAACCTTAACTTTGCAATTAGGGGTTTTGTGTCGGGTAATTGCAGTGAAACTACAGATCATACATAAATAAATTGTTGTATTGAGACAGAGATACATGTAAAGTTTATCTCGAACATAATTTGATCTAGTCAATATATTTATATAAATGTTTTCTGTACAAAACATATACTCTATTCTATATACAATAAAATATTTACAAAACTGTAGTTTTATTCTTAAACGGCATTGGAACCTCGTCTTGATCCGTCAGTAGCCAAGCTACCACGTGACAAGCTCGAGTATGACTTGTGCAATTTACTACAGGTACAACAACATAAATCTTTCATAAGACCTCCCAAACTGTCATTCGACGCGGTTCTAAAAATACCACTTGATACATCTTCGATGTTGGTGTCACCAATGAAAATTTGTAAATCACTTTTGGGGAATCCCTCAATATAATAAACTTTGATCGTATCATAAGCGTCCATGATAACAGAAATAAACAAACTTAAAATGATATAAATATACAAACTAATAAATGAGTATAAATAAATCTTGCTGAACCACCACAACATGGTGGATTTACTCGACATTATGGAAAAAGTGGCAAACATATCGTCACCGTTAATCAGAGAGAATAGACACTCTGAAGTCGTGGATAACGACCTGAATTTCAAATGGTACGGTCCTAAAATAAGCCATCCTGAGAAGGTGAAACCCGCATAAATAAGTAAAGCACAAAGGAGGAATCTGGCGACTTGAGGAGCTGCTTTTTCCAGCGTCAAAATAACAACGTTGTATGTTTTAAAGAATGTCAAGTAACGTAAGACCCCAAACCATACCAGCATATTACCAAGTCCCAAAAACAAGCTACAAACGTTCCACTGGTCACTGGTGAAGTCCTTGCGCTCGATCTGTTCTTTAATTGACGACCCGATGATTATTAAAATATCGTTAATTATTATCATGACATACCACAGATTCAAGAACTTGTTTCTATCCTCTTTGCTAAGAGGGCGTCCGAATTGATTAACAAAAAACGTGTTGGTCATTTTTTTCAATTTTTGGGCCCTTAAAACAGCCCTAGTACACAACACAAAAGACAAAATACAAATCGTTATAACTAAATAATTTAGAACACTTTGCAAAAACGAGTCAATTTCATCATCAGTGACATACTCAACATCGCCTTTGCACATAAGACGCACTGGTTGTGCGTCCAACCAAAGTAACATTTGACCATCATGATCCTCATTGTCGAAATTAATATCTATGTCAAATCGGTAACAATTCGGGGGCGAAATCCGACCGGCGGTTTTAAAATTAACAGTCTTAAGTGAAAACTTCAAAACAGCTTTAACCAATGCTGAAAAATTAATATTTAAGTTACTTAAATACTGTTTAGAGTCGAGGAGATGATCAGACGGGCTGTGCGTTATATTAAGACAAGTTTCTACAATTTCAGCGTCAAAAACATAAGATTCGTTGAAACCAAAAATGATTCCTTTTTTATACTGCGATAAACACAATTCCATATCAGTCATCGTATTGTCTTCGTTTGCATAGGAATACGAGCCCACGGCTTGGCTCAAATTCGCATACCCCGAATAAGCGTAGTCGATAGTGGCATAAAAATCGTCCGCTTTGTAGATGGCCAAAGGTCCAGTGGCTGGAGGATAAGCACTCACTTCTCTTGTGGCGTCCCAGCCCCTCAGAAACAAGTGAGAAAATGAAATCCTATTGTCCCACGTATAATTGACATGATTGTATCGGTTATAGGCAAACAAACACAGTTGCATTGTCACTAGAATTATCTTAATAAGCTGCACTGTGAATTTGTACGGGAAGCGTTTCTTCGCTTGCCACTTCTCGATGGGGTTCATGAAGAAAAACTGAAGCTTGCGACGCATTTTCTCTTCGGTGAGGAGCGATTTGGAGCTATGGCAGGAGGGCTGGTGGGTTAAAGAACATCGTTCCTCGTCCGTGCCACATGCTGTGATGCACTCTGGAGAGTTCCCCTGCATGTTCTCCATTTCCACGGTACTCAACAGGACATTCACTTTTTATTCGAAGGGTGAAACCACAAAGACTGACAAAGACTTTATCAAAAATAACCTAATTGTTGACAGGTTGACACTGACATTTGACGTTTGACGGATGGCAACTAGGGAATTTTGTTTTGTTTTCTAATTTTTTTTGATAAAAAATTACGGAATAATACACAAAAACAGACGAATCAGATTATTCGGGATAGTTTTTTCATCGTGACTAAACTAATTATGTATATTTTAGATAATTGTGCTCCTACTCAGATGACTGGTGTTTTTTATTTTTTCCAGTGGCGCACTAATTTTTGTAAAGTTGAGCAAAAATTTAAAGTTTTTGTATATTTTGACTTTAGAATAAACAATTCAAATAAGCTAGGATTAAAAAAAAATATTTTTTATTTAAGTAAAGTTTAAGGTTTTTGACTAAAAAACCATAAAAATTTCTTTGCCTCAAGATTCCACGAGCCGCCCATGTTTTTTGAAGACGTCACGTCAAATGTCACAAACCTAACCTTCTGTTATGTTATTTAGCGTAAAATCTTAAGATAATTTTGTTTTTGTTATGTGAAAATGCCAAATAATATTGAAATTAAGCAACTTTTTTGTTTCAAAAGGTAATCCCCATAATTTGGTTTGTTGCAACGACGTAATGAATTCAATTTTAGGTTTCCAGCAAATGAGTTGAAGATTTTGTTCCTAGTGCTTTACTTACCTGTTGGAATAATCCTGTTTATTTTAAGAACAATATTAGCTTTGAGTGTCGTTTTAATTGGATGTTGTTTATCAGACACTCGGATTATTCATAAACTTGTCAATAAATTTGCATGTTTAACATTAGGTATAACAGTCACAGTAGAAAATCCAGACAAAAAAGAAAATGTAGAAGTGTATATTAGCAATAATGTATCGATTTTTGATCATTTGGCTGTTCATACGGCAACAGGATCGGTCTCAGTAAGTTTTTATTGAACATTCTAATTGTTTTTTGATGAAAATCTTGCAGCCTGGCGCTCAAATGCACCCATCCTTGGCTAGAGGCTTAGGAATTCACTATTTTGGTAGTCAAACAAATTTAGAAAGTTTTAAGAAAAACCTAGTTGACTTTTTATCTGAGCAACAAGTTCCAATACATTTCACACCTGAAGAAAAAATCACAAATGGCAAAGCACTTCTAAAGTTCAAAAGCTACCCATTTTCTCTAACAAATAAAGTGCAACCTGTTTGTATCAGCATTGAACGCCCTTTTCTAGACCTATCTGTTACGACTTTAGGCGCATCTTATTGGACTGACGTTTTATTTTACATGTTTTCGCCCCTTACTAACTATAAATTAAAATTTTTGCCGCCCCTCGAAAAAAAGTCCCTAGTGGAGACTGAGTATTCAGAAGTCGTACGCCAAAATATCGCATCGGCCCTTAAGGTAAACTGCAAGAATATGATGAGTTTTTATTGTGGTTTTTGTTAGGTGGAGACTCCTGAATTTACGGCTGCCGATCTCTTGGAGTGGGAGAAACGCCAACTAGTTGAACAACAGAGAGGAGCGCCACCTGTGCCTAGACCTAGCGTCGATAGCGAAGTCAGGAGAATGGCGACTCAAGTAAAAGAAGTGCTGCCACATGTGCCATTAAACGCAATTTACAAGGACTTGAGTAAGTTTAAAATGAGTAATTGGAGGTCATTGACGATTTAATTGGTAGACAAAACACGAAATGTAGACACAACTATTACGAATATCTTAGAAGGCCGAATTCACTTTGTGCCAGAACAGGTCAATTCTACCTCCAACAATCCTCAACCTTCCACTTCTATAGCATCTGGCACAAAAATGACGCCTTCGACTTCGGCTAGCGACAGGGATTTGTTCAATACAGCTGCATCGTCTTTCCCCAGATCTGCCCATGAGAGAACCAAGTCATTTCAGGAGAGAAAAGAACAACTTATTGCTAATGCTAGAAGGCGTTATATTGAAAAACATAACTTAAATATACCGTTTTAGGATGATTTTTTAACTTTTTGTAGTTAAGTTCTTATGGCTCTGGAGTTTGAGGCACATTTTCAGAAATTGTTTTAAGTTTAAGTTTGGCGGTTCTTTTGCGGTTTTTACTACTTAAACTGTAAATATTGTTATTTATTTTTGGTTGCAATACAATAAACATTTCATTACACGCCATAATTAGTTTTTAATTTTATTAAATACCTAATTTATTATATAATTAAAGGTTTCTACAGTTGTTTGGAAATTTTCTAGACTATGATGGGCGGAGCATATGACGGCGCACATGATGTGTGATTTCCCCTAGTAGGAAAATTTGACAGCAGTTTAGAAAAAATCTTTTATGTCCGACTGTATAATAAAGTCTGGTAATAATATTGCAGCCATAAAGTACTTTTTTTAGTACTAGTAAATTAAAGTAACTTTATTTTCAATACTGTGAAAAGGATTTATTTATTTAAATTTACGAAATGCAATTATTTATTATAAAAACACCTTAAATTATTATAGGGGGTAACTTGGCAAACATCGGTACGTTTAAGTTCGACTTGCGAGAAACGGTGGCGTAGCCCTAAACACATTTTTGTTTTAAACAAATTTCACATTTTCATTTTGAAAAGGTATTTGCAGAGCATTCTTTATTGCAATCAAATTTTAATTTGCGATTATAATTTGATGTTTAAAAACTAAAGTAACTGACAACTTAATTTGGATGTGTTTAGTCCTGAATTAAATTTTATTTTGCCTTTTCTAAATCGATTAATGGCAAATTAAAATTTCATGTTACCTTTAAACAGAAGTAAATTTTCGGTAAAAATTCATGTTTGGACGCATCAAGACGCAGCCAATTAGATGCATCTTAACGTCTTATCAGGCGAATCGGAGGTTTGTTTATTCGTGTGACTGTAAAAAATGGTGAACGAATGTCGGGATTACGCAGTCCCGAACAAAGATCTTTCACAGCAATACTATTACAAAATGGGTTTTTGCGGATCTTGCCTTTTTTGAGGGAATATTTTAACGAACAAATCAGTCTTACCCTTCCTCCCGTACGAGTTATTTGAAATGTAATAATTGTCCGAATAAATTACTTATTTCGTGGTTCAGTGCGAAATTGTGTAGAAATGGGGGCTGTATGATTAGTGCGTGCGTGTTGGATATTTTCGGGTGCTTATTAGACATTTATAGTAGTTATTAGTGAGTGTCAATGGGCGAAATGGAGGAAGCAGTGCTACAAGAATCCGGATTAAAGGGTTAGTCAATAAAACCTTTTAATTTTCTTAGGAAAGTCAGATTCAAATTTTATTTAATATTTTCAACTGATTTAATAACTGATTTTGTGATTCTTTAATTCAGTAGGTCCGTTCAAGAAGCAGAGGCAAATTGCTACAAAAAGTAACAGAAGAAAATGCTATATAATGTTTGTGAACTTTAATTTAATTTTTTTTTTTTTTGTTTATCGCCAAGTGAAGTGTGTGAATTTGTGATTTTTGAGTGCAACAGTAAGTTTTTATTTAATTTAAAAAAACAGGTCTTTTGTTTTGTTTGTCTCCGGAAGCTACATAACATAGGTCCATAGAAACTTTTTCTTCTTGTTTTGACCTAGAGAACCACCTCCATAAATATCTCAACATTATTTCGGACATTCCTGTATAATTATTATAGTTATTGTTATCTAAGTTTTTTGGTTTTATTTTTTCCAACCTATTGATCTGAGATTATTGACACAAATTGCAAAGTACGAGTAATTCAGCTCATTATTTATTTAAATTATACAGTGTTTACTAATAACACTTAGACATAAGATATTAAAAAAAAAAAACAAAAAATGGTTTTAGGTAATATTTTTTTATTTCGGTGGTCAAGGTGGTCAAATGTTCTTGTGAATTATTCTACGCATATCTAAAAAGCAGTAAAAGAATTGCGTGTTAGACAAATTTTATTTTTTTGCGCCGACTATTTTCTAGTGCTCATTTGATACAGAAGTGTGAAGTATGACCAAGCTGCTCGAAGAATCTGACAACAAAAAAAGGAATTTTCTATTATGAGATTGATACACATCTTTGTTTTTACCTTAATAAATGTTTCAACAGATAAGTAAAACAAATTTAAAGCAGAAATTTGTAGTGGTCTTTGACACCGCATCATAAAAATTATCATATTTCCCTTGCTTTCTTTGGAAGCATCTACCCAGTCCGACTCAAATGCAGCGTAAGGAATATTTGTACTCTGAAATATAATAGTGGTATTTTCCAAAAAAATGTTTTGTTTGATATTTACTTTTTCTTCTATTTCGTTTCCAAACCAGCAATACATAAAAATTTCCACTATAATGGCGAATTCATATGAAAGGAGTGAAAAGTACTCGCTGCTAAAGGGTGTAACCTAAGTACGTTTTGGTATGATTATATAAAAAATAAAATTTGATAAATAACTTACTACTGTCATTTGGAATAAAGTGATACCTATAGACATTGCACTTATAAAAAATTGAAAAAACGCAATCCATTTCAAAAACTCGTTACAGTTTTCAGCAAATCTACAAACGCATAGTTTAAAATGGAAAATTTTTTGAAATACATACTTTAAAATCATTTTGTGGTGGAAAATGCACTCCAACAACTCACCATTGAAGTTTACCCCACTAAGTTGCCTTAAATTGTCACACAAAATATCAATTTGGGCCCCAATATACATACACAAAGCAGCTATTAAAGTGTCCACTCCAACAGTAGAAATAGCAACAAAAATCACTCCAATAACTTGATGAACATAGGCAATTTCGTAAAATGGCGAAACTTTCGTATCGAAGGGATACCATGCCAAAAATGGAAGTCGATGATCCTTGACAGACTTATCCAAAATTGGGAAAGTAGCCCAAAAGAAAAGAGCGCCACTACTCATAACCCAATACACGTAATAAATTTGCTTCCAAAACTTCAAATTAGGTTCGATTAATTTTATTTGTCTCTCGTTTTTTGGTTGAAATTTTGGACTGTTGAGAGTAATCATAAGTTGCTTTAATTTTGCCATGTTTTTTATAAGGTAGTAAGATTTTAAAATTCCGAGTAATTCGGATAGATTCAAAAATATTATAGCAGTCACAGCTTTGAGATCATTAACCATGAAGTAAATATTGACAGCTTGAAAGAAGTTGTGGCAGAATATGAGACATATGAATGAAATTGCGGTCCATAGGCCATAAAGGTTAAACTTAAAAGATTCATCTCCTTTGGGCCATAAACCAACAACTCGAAGCTTTATAATATTTATTTCGATTGTCTTCTTCCAGTCGAAATTGCTCATTTTTGATTAATATTATAATGGGCTAAATCTTTATAATAACAGTTTTTATATATGAGAGAAAAATTTTGCCACTTACAAGTTAGTGCTGAATTCATCAATTCTTTAATTTAAAAATACCTGAACGTGGAATGTCAAGTGACACTTTTAAGAAAACAAGAGTTTGTACATAATATTTAAATTTGTGGTTTATACTCGAATTTGTTTTAATAAGTAATGTGGCTATACTGGATTGGATTTTATCGATAAACTTCTGCTCTTAACAAAATGATACAGCTTTTATAAGAGTCTTGTTTGCTGTAGTTTATTTTAAGTTTTAATAATGTAGAAATATAATTAGTGTTTCCCAGTAAAAAGCAATTATTCCCTTATGTTTTCATAAGACCTTGACTTCCAAAGCGCAGAAGTTATGAATTATATAAAATAAAATAATTGTCTGCGGTGTTTTAAAACACAGTATATAAATTTTAAAGGTAATAAGGAATTTATTAAATATTTCTGCGAAATAATTTAATATTAGATACAACCTTAAAATTACTTAATAATTATACATTTGGTGGATGCGCCGGGATAGGAAGCAAGTAAAATTGGGATATTTTTGTTGTAGTTAATTTTTAGTAAACTAAGTGTTTTTCGAATGCAACTCATTACATAAAAATAATTAATTGTAGTTGTTTTTTATAGTTGTAATTAAAATAGGCTAATAGTTATTTATTCGACGAGTTTGAGTATAAATCGGACTCTTTATTTGACCGAGTGGATTTTTTTTTTCTTCACAGTTGTATCGTGCGATCATAATAAAAATAAATTAGAGTAGGCGTTGATTAAAGTCCTTCAGATGGCAATCCTGATTTTTGACATCAAATGTCAGTGACAAGTTTGCGTTTTATTCGTTTTGAGTGAAGTAATGTTCACTTTAGAGCAGAAATTTTTTATTGTTGCAAGTTATTACAAAAATGCTGTACAAAACGAATACGGTGAATGGTCATTTTCATTTTCAGTTTGTGTGGGAAATTTCCAGCCCACATTCCGAGCCAATGTGATATAAGGAGTAAAAGTGATGGTTTATGTGGCGAAACTGAACATTTATTTTGCCAAACGTAGTGAGGCAAGTAATTCAGCTGAGCCACATAAACTCACTTTTACTCCTAACAACATGTAATGAAATCAAGTATCGCGCATGAATATTGGAATTTATGTTGAGATTTTTGAAAGTGTTCATTAATTTAACTAATGGGTGACTAGTAGTACAGTAAGTAAAGCAAAATGTCGAATGCTGATTATCTACAATGTACTTCTTCAGAAATTGCTAAATCAGCAAAAGAGACCAGAAACAACATTGGTAAATGTCAATAATGTCAAGGTAAAAGTAAAAACATTTAAATCAAAAACATAATTTTTACTACATGCCTGAAAGGTAAAACTTTTACTTGTGACATTTAGTAATAAAAGTGGTCACTTTTGTGACGTTTGCAAATAAAGGTATTTTATTTTACGTAGTATTATGCACTAACACAAAAAAGAGTGTAAAGTGGCATAATCACTGCTTATAATTATTTTAAGACAAAAAACGTATTTTGGAATTTCTTTTATTACCTACTAACAAACATTAAGATAATAATTACATACATAAATACAGTATGTTCCTGGATTGAGTTTACAAGAGGAATTTTTTTTATCTTTGATTTTACGCCAAAACTGCAAAGGAAAAACATTTTTTGCTGTAACTGAAACGTGCAAATCTGTAATTCTGTAATGTAAACTTCATTATCTTAACTCAGTCATTTTTTTCTTGATTTTGGATTTGTACCAAATTTTTCTCTGTTTTTTAATTCCCATCACATTGGCGGTTTTATGTTTTTTTTGACAATGATGTCACTTTGACAAATGAGTTTACACAAGTTAAATAACAAAAATGTTTATGAAAAACATAATTTTAATAAATAGCAAGGCAAAAAAAAACAGCTTTAAGATAAAAACCAGTCATTTATAACAAGAACTATCTTTACTTAATTAATAAATTAATTGTCAAAGTGACATATAGCTGTCAAATAAATAAAACCGTCAATGTAATAGGACTTTAAAAGCACAGGAAAATTATTTTATGTCGAAAATGATGAGAAAAATTAACTTTTCTGTTCACTGAATCAGAATAATGAGGTTTAAGTACGGATTTGTTTGTTTTAGGTGAAGCAAAAAATGTTTTTTCTTTGTAGTTTTATAAAATCTTTTGTAAACTCAATCCGGGGACATACTGTATACTAAAAACATTAAAATCACCTAAACAGGTCTACATCAGTGCATAGTGCACCTTATTATAACATAAAATTTTTGTGATATTAGGCGCTTAAAATTTTATGATGCAAAACTTACATTGAAGTTATTTGTGTGCAGTTATGGTGTGCTACGGTATCTATAAGGGGACTGATGTTCTGGTAGTATTTAACCAGAATTAGCTTGATTCAAGAGTGTGAAATATGACCAAGAAGTCTTCAGAATCTGAAACATAAATGTAGTAATTGTCTGTAATTTACCAAATTTTAATAATTTTACCGCTTTAAAAGTTTCCAACGATAAATAAAACAGTTTCAAAGCCGACAATTTTATTGGTCTTTGAGCTCTCATGATAAAAATTATAAGATTTTTTTGTATTTCAAGTGGAACACCAACCCAATCGGATTCAAATGGAGCATAAGGTATAACGTTGCTCTAATAACAATTATAAAAAATATCACAGTTCAACGATAAGTTAAAATTTACCTTAATTTCAACTTCATTGCCAAACCAACAATAAATAAACATTTCTGTAATAATTGAGCTTCCGTAACATATAAACGAGTAAAATTGGCTGCTAAAGGGAGCGACCTTAAAAAATTGTATTATGTACAACAAAGTATTAAAAATTTGGGAACTTACTATAGTCAACAGAAACATTGTAAAACCAATAGAAACTGCACTAGTGAAAAATTGTAAAAGCACAATTAAATTAAAAAACACGTTTGACTGTACTGCAAATCTAAAATTCGAAATGACAATAAGTGGAAAAAATTCAATCTTTATTTACCTCAAAATTTCTTTATGGTGTTCGATACATTTGACTAGATTTGGACCGATTTCTTCTCTGTTTTTCCCAATTTTTTTTAAATTATCGCACAAGAGGTCACATTGTGCCCCAACAAACATATTCAATCCTGCAATCAACATATCAATGTTGAGACTGGCGGAAACGAGGTACCAAATTGCTACAACTTGATGGATATATGTAAATTCATAGAGTGGTGATTTGGTACTGTCGTAGGGGTACCAAGCCAGGAATGGTAAGCGATGATCTTTCGTCCACTTGTCAAAAATGGGATAAGTCGACCAGAAAAATGTGGTGCAGTAACACAACACTCTAAATATTAAATAAAATCTTTTCCAAAATTTGATAGACGGTTGAACTAAAAGTATCTGTGCCTCGTTTTTGGGTTGAAAAATGTCTTTGTTGATGTTGATGAAGAGTTCTTTGAGCAATTGCATGTTCTGCAGAAGGTAGTAGGTTTTAGCGACGGTGCCCACGCAGGATAAGGTTACAAAAATCGAAGAGGTGAATGCTTCCAAGTCATCGACGATGAAGTAGATGTTGAACATTTGCACAAAACTGTGGATGAAAAGTAGACCCATAACACCAAAAATGGCGTAAAGTGTGTATAGGTTTAGTTTGTAGCTTTCGTCTCCTTTGGGCCACAATCCGAGGATTTTCAGAGTTGTAATGTTACTATCCACTGCCCTTTTCCAGCTAAATTCCGACATTTTCCTGAAATATCTTTAAAATACAAATAAAATACGACTGACACAAAGTGTCGCAATTAAATGAAGGTCTTTTAAGACATGAAATAGTTTTATATAAAGGCGTGCTGGTTTTTTTTTTTAATAAAACCAAGACGTTCATTATTTTATATTTTATTTACGACCCCACCTCGTTATTAAATTTTTGTTTTGGGTTAGAGGTGTTTCGTGAGAAAGATGCCATAAGGATATAAAACACAATCTTGGAAAATGTTTTTCTTGTAACCCTTTAATTAAAATTTTATTAATTAAACGAGACCGGTTATTATTTTAGAGATGCTAAAATAGCCATAGATTATTTATAACGAAACTCTTGCTCCTATTAGGTTGCAAGTTTTTCTTACGTGGTCCTATTACATTTTAGTTTCTTGAAGGCTACAGAACATTCTATTTGAAAAATTAGTAGAATTTTGATTTAATAATAAGTAGATATGTTATATAAATGTAATAAGTAACAAAAGGTTCTTGTTTGTGAATAAGGAAGAACTAAGAAGATATTTTGGTAATAAAGTTGGACAATACGGTATGACTACACTTTTTTAAATGTTATTTCTTCACAAAATCTCACATTTTTTATTTTATTAATATAATTGTAAATCATTGAGTCTGAACTTTTTCGGTGATTTCACATTTAATACTTATAACAAAAAAAAAAACAGTAAACGATTAACAGTAGCTGCAAGTTTACCTAAATTGGTAACGTTTTCGTCATTATCGGCGGCTAGTTGTAAACATTAAAAAAAAATTATTTGAATACATAAAAAATTTTAAAGAGCAAAACTAACCCGTAGGTTAGGTTCAAAATTTAGCGGGTTACACTTAAAATTCGCTGGTTTCATGTGTTTCGATAGTCTTGAGATTTAATTTTTTTTTAATTACAATCGAACTAGAATGTAAGGTGTTTTGGTACACAAATTAAAAAACAGAAAATTAATATTTATTATAAATTTCCTCTAATTATCTCTCTAAAGTTTTGGGTCAGAAGTTGTGGATAAAGTAAAAAATGTTTTGACTGTTATCTTACCTTAGTTAAAGGTTGCTGGAAATAACGAATTTTTAAAATTTCTGTGGCTTTTATAAATTGTAACATTTTCAGCTACCAATCAGAAACAAAGTAGTTTCTCTCCGCCTAACAGTGTGGTCTATATTATTTATAAACAGAAGAGAAAAGAAAAAAAATATCAACAAACAGCCATCTAAATACTCCTTAAATATATATAGTTGTGATGAATAGGTCGTCGAAATTGTAACTAACTTAGTTGGAAAACTCTTGCAATGTCAACACATTTTATATATTTACAAGCAAAAAACTAAACAACACTATGCAGTTTTAGATTTTAATAATGAAAGAGGAATACAGGAGGTGTGTCTAAGAAAGTTTTTATTGTCAATCATATTATGTTTTAACCGTTTTAAATAAAAGTACTGTAACTGTTACACATGCAATCTAAATTAAAACTTTCAGTAAAGTCTACCTTTACTTATTTTTATAATTTGTCTAAAAAAGCTTAATTTTTAATACTATATTACATAGTAGAAGTGGAAAGTGTTTCATTTCTGTCTTGAGTAATGTTAAATGCAATAAGTCATCTGATTTATTTTGTTGGTACATTCTACGAGTAGCTTCAGTTAGCTTGTTGGCAGTACTCGTTGTAATAACAGTTACACGAAGCAAAATAAATCAGGTGACTTATTGCTTTCAACATAACTCGAAAGTGAGTTATCAGATGAGAAAGCATTTACTCAGAACATTTAAAAAAAAAAGTTCAGAAAGCTAGAATAAAGTGAACAAATCGGAATCTGAATGGAAAGTGATTTAATTTGAAAAAGATTTGCCCTTATATTTAAGACTCGTGCCTTAAACTTCTAGATCCTCTTTGCTCATTGATCAGTGGTCATTTTTAGAACAAAGAAACTCTTTATTTGCTTTAATTAGTACGCAGGTACTCTTTGTTTGTTTTAAGTAAACAAACAGTTTTTGCTTATTCTAATTATAACGAAGAAAGTGAAATAGACCATTTTTAAGCAAAAGCAGTCTTAAAACAAACACTTTTCAAAAATGCGTTTTAAGTAAGATTAACATACCTATATGGTGCAATGTTTGATTAGCAAACCTTAACTTCAAAAAATCTTATCTTGAAAACTAGTCGGTATATTTTTTTAAAAATTTGGATTTCAACTAATAAAGAGATGCTCTACACGATGGTGAAGATGAAAAAAAATTACTTCTAGGTTTTTTCTTAGATTATTCCGATTTACATCGAACTTCAAACAGTGTTCGAAGAAAAGTTTGTAAATCTATCCCTTTAGAATGGTTTTAATTTGAAGGAAATCGGCCTAATAGTTACTGAGTAATAATTTTTTGAAGTTAAATTATTTTAAATTAGAAAAAAATTATTTAGTTCAAAGTTTGTGGACTTCAAAATTTTTTTAGTGCATTTGATTTGTCTCACTGAGACGAACAAAATGATAAACATTCTGCACAAAAGTATTGGGAAATTTTAAATAAAATAGTACTACGTTATTATTGTTCAATTTTTATTTGATTCCCTTCAAACTAAACTCTATCTGAAGCGGTAACGTTTAACTCAATCATCAAAACACATCTAATAAACAGCGGAAGGTATGGCTTTCAGTTCCTTCTGCGGTTTTTGTTTTATATTACTGATTCAAAACGCCTTCCTCGCGGGACAATTTAAGTTTAAGTAACAGGAAAACGTCACATAGAGACATGTTAGCTGAATGCGATGCTTGATTGATGACATTTGTTGAGTTTTTAGCCAAAAATTTGTGCAGGATTGTCGCTGTGGTATGCACCGCCTGCCATGGTGGCACAAATCTGGCCTTTTCCAGCAAATATTTTTTATAAATATTTCAGAACGGCTAAATGATATTACTCTTTAACTTAAATGACGATTTGCAGTCAGCATTTCTTTGATTTTCTTTACATTTTCCACCGTGTTTGCTGTGTACGATCGTCCAGGATGAGGAAAGTCGGTGAACTCTTTCCAGTCCAATTGAAATGTTTTGTACCAATCATAGGCATGTGTTTTTTATTTACTACATGAATTTTCGTTGGCATTCTCTGGTCGGTTGTGGAATACTTAACAAAAATCGCGAGTCAAGTTATGGTAAAAACAGTTTTAATAAAACCATTTGACTTATAGAGGAAAAATTTAGTTTGGTAAGAGAGTATGGTTGTACCAATACATCAGACAAGAATTATTAAAATATCTCCTACGTGAACTCATTAAATCGAAAATTCCCGAGTAGTATAATATCTCAAGTTGTCACGACACGTCCTTTTTTCTGTCGTCCTGTGTTATTATATTAGATATACGAAGTTTATTTTCCGAGGTAATAACCGAAAAAAATAACCATCTGTAAAAAACTGAGAAAATATCATCTTGTGGATATTAAATATGTGGTAATATTGAGTTTTATATATTCTTACACTTTATATAAACAAACTGTAAGTAACGTTACTTACATCATAATAAATATTAATTTTGTTAAATAAAATCCATTGTGTAAAACTTTTTATTTAGCTATTTCAATCACATCTTATAATTATTGTAGGTGTATGTAAAAAGGAAAAAACAATCTATTAGAAAAAAAATAGGTACAAAAAACTTTAGTCAACAATAACTGTGCAAACATTTAATATCCACGTAGTTACATAGAAAAAATTGTAACTGCATGTTTTTTATGTTAAGAGTGAACTTGATTCAATACGGTAAAATAGGACCATGACGTACGTAAAATCTGCAATCAAAGAATTAGATATTAGAAAATATAACTAAAAATAATTACCGTTTTAAAGGTTTCCAAAGACAAATAAAACAAATTGAGTGCCGATACTTGCATGGGTCTTTGTGTCCGAATTGTAAAAATTATAAGATTTTTTTGTACTTCCAGCGGCGCACCAACCCAATCACACTCAAAAGCTGCATATGGAATATTATTACTCTGAAAAATTGATAAAAATTAAACACGAAGTTTACACATTAATGTATTTTAGCAGTTTGGATTAAAACATGAAAGGTGAATCTCATTTTCTAATTTTTTGCTCTTCCTAGAGCCATTTTCCTTTAGTGGTTGTGCGAATAAAATGCAAACCTTCACCACCATAATCAAAGCAGATTAGTTTTTAAAATAAAAGTTAAGTTTAAAAAAAAAAAAATTCTATTAACAGAAAAACTGGTTGTTACAGCTTGGATAAAAATTAAATCAATCTTTACCTTAATTTCAATTTCGTTTCCGAACCAACAATAAATGAACATTTCCGTTGTTATAGCACTTCCATAACAAATAAAAGAATAAAACTGGCCACTAAACGGTGCAACCTACAAACTTAGTCTTCTTCATATGAAATGAGTTTAAAAAACTTACCAGAGTTAATTCAAACATTGTAAATCCAACAGAAACGGCGCTACTGAAAAATTGCAAAAACACAATCCAATTGAAAAATATATTCGATTTTGAAACAAAACTGAAACTAATGGTTAAAAAGTTTTGTTTTTTTTCGCACAAATTGTACCTCAAAATTGCTTTGTGATGCTTGATGCAGTTGATTAAGTTCTGATTCAGTTCATTAATACCATTTTTAGCTAGATTTCTCAAATTATCGCATAATATATCGCACTGTGCCCCAACGAACATGTTTAGTGCCCCTATCAATACATCAGTATTAAAACTAATTATGACAATGTACCAAATCGCCACAGCTTGATAAAAGTAAGTTATTTCGTACATTGGCGAGACCGAACTGTCATAAGGATACCAGGCTAAAAATGGTAACTTGTGCTGTTTAATCCTTTTGTCCAGAATGGGATACGCGCACCAAAAGAAACACGTGTTGTAACACAAAATTCTAAAAATGAGATAGAATCCCTTCCAGAATTTAATACTCGGTTGAATCAAAAGTTCCTGTTCATGGTTGCGAGGTTGAAAAATTTCTTTGTCGATGTTGATGAAGAGTACTTTGAGAAGCTTCATGTTTTTCAACAAGTAGTAGGTTTTGAAAACGCAAGCTACGCACGCAAAAGTTACAAAAATTGAAGAAGTGAAAGCTTCTAAGTCGTCGATGATGAAATAGATGTTAAATGTTTGGGTACCAGTGTGGACACATAAAAAACCCAAGACACAAAAGCCTGCATAAATGCCGTACAAATTTAATTTGTAGTCTTCATCTCCCGGAGGCCATAATCCACAAACTTTCAAAAAATTGATGTTCTGACTGAGTGTTTCTTTCCAGCTGAACTCTTCCATTTTTCTAAAATTTTGGATTAAAACGTGTGAATAAAATCAAGCATTTTCTGTTCTTGCCTTTAAAAATTTGTTGGAAATAACTGAGTTTTAGAATTACTTTGGCTTTTATAAGTTACCACTACCAATCACAGACGAGTATTTTATCTCCGCCCACCACCAATATAAAGAAAGCCTAATTAGAATTATTTAATACACACTGATTAAATTATTTAGAACACAAAACACAATGCAAAAGCTTTAAAATTTTAAAATTTGAATCTTGTACAATGACTTGAAAGTAATACTAAAGAGTGACTAATTGCCTTCTTGAGCGGAAAAAATTTGGAAAAATGTATTTTTGTTTTGTCAAGTCGTTCATTATAATATTTTTTATTAATGATTTCAACCCCCATATTAAAATTGTCTTTCAGTGTTGTAGGCTTTCGTGAGAAAGTTACCATAAGGAAAATCTAATCTTTTCTTAAAAAACCCTTTTAATTACAACATTTATAAATTACACGAAACCTCTTATTATTTGGAGATGATGAAGTGGGCATAGATTATTAATAACCAAAACTGGATATTTAACTTCTATCACAATTATATCTACCAATAAAAAATGTACACCCCCATATCATCCAAACGCAAGTTTTTACTACGTGGTCCTATTCAACAAGACACAGTATGAGGAAAAATGTTCAAAATTTTCGGTTATTATCATCTACAAGGTAACTATTTTGTTGTATCAGTAGGGTGTAATGTTGATTGTAGAAACCCCAAAAAATTAAATAACTGGCATCAACTTGTTTTTATAGGTGTTAACATATTGTAGCGTCGAATCAGAAGCCACAGGTGCACTTCTGCGCCGGTTAAAATTATGCAAAATTAATTAGATTTAATTACACATGTGGCTCTTCACTTTTCCAGTAAGAATACACTGGTAATAATTGTCATGTAATAGATAATTTTTTTGTAATTTTCAACATTTCATATGTCTTTAGAGGAGAAATCTTCTCGATCATATGGTGCAAATAATAATTAAATAATAGGTGTCGTAAAGTCGTAAGAAACATGTGAAAATGGCAGATTTTTAATTAGGAGTAGTGTCGTGTGTAAATTATTCTTATGTGGAAAAAATAAATTAAAAAGATTTTAATATTGTGTTATTTGTAAAAAACTTAAATATTGTCCACTGAGGCCGAATCCGGCTCTGTATTTCCGTTAGCACTTTCTTGTGTAATATTAAAGAACTATACATAAGTATATCATCACGCAAAAATAATTACTACTTCTCGGTTATTGTATTGTACGTGTTTTCTCAAAATAATAATTTTCTGTTGATTGGTTTAAATACATCATTAACATTTAAAATTGTAATTGCAAACCGTTTTACCTGAGTTACATCCTCCTTTCAATAAAACGTCAATATTTTCTTCAGGATAGTGTATTAATAATAGCTTTGGAGTTGTTAGCTGATATACACGCCAAGTACCCCAAAAACCAACCAAAATTTTGACAAACATCGAGAAAATTGAAATTTTCAAAATTGAACCAAATGCACTTTTAGGGATTTAAGAGAGTCTCTTAGACTTAAAAAAATGCATAAAAAGTTGTAGGCAAAATAATTTTTGAAAAAATGTTTGCATGTTTGAATATATTGAATTAAAGCATTGAAACTACCGGCGGCGTAGTGGCGTAAAAGTTTATTGTTCTGTGACAAATAGTTATTGAGAAAATTGCCAAAAAGTTAAAATCTATAACTTGGAAACTATTGAGAATATTGCAATTTTCTCGACGCTAATCGACTTCCCGGCACATTTTATATCTGTAAACTTTGAAACATTGTAACTTTTGAAGTACGGTTTTGCCGCAATTACACAAATAAAATAAAAAAATTGGGACCGTTTTTGGGTAGCAAAATTTCAAGATCTGCTGCTCTATTACTATAATAGGCTCTTAATTGCATTATAACTTATTATCCAAAATTTTACTTGGTGTTTTGATAATTTATGGTAAAAAAGCTCTCATGTTTATGCCCCTCTTATGTTTGTTTTTATGCTTATGACCTCCTATGCTTATGCTCTCTTATTTGATCTTATGCGCTAATGCTCTCTAAGATCTAAAAAAAGGATTTTTGACTAAATTTTGTGCGATTTTCGGTACCCAGTGCAGTCTATTGCCAATAACTCCGGAATTAAAGCGACAGCTTTTTATGTTTAGTACCATTTAAAAGCACTTTTTATTTCGTATCTTATAAAAAAAATCATTGTCCGACAAATAGTTATTCAGAAAACCGCAAGTGGAAAAAATAGTAAAGGAACCTACCCTTTTAAACAAATTTTGTATATCTGATGGTTTTAATTCAATCAAAAATGCGTATAATTTTAATTTATATTCAGATAGTTTTAATAGTTTTTAAAGAAGATGTTATTTTACTTGCACTCTTCTATTTATCGACTTTTTCATCTGAAAAGTGTATTGTGGTAAACTGCACATATGTATAGTCATTTGCGAACAACATCACGAGTTCCGAACTTCATCAATAATTAATAATAATGAATTAATTACAATTGCAGCAGAAATACCATCGATACCTAATTGTTCCACAGACTTACTATTTATTAAAAAAAGTAATAAAATTAATCTGATTTTACTGCAACTACAATTTATTTATTCTCAGAAAATTGGTTGGTTACATGGCAAAAACAGCAATTGCTTTAAATCAAAAACGTTGTTAAAGGTGTTTTACATATCATCCAGTTTATGAATTTCTGTTACTAACTTGGTGCAACAAAGCGAAATAAGACCAAGAAGTTTTAAGAATCTGAAATTAACGATTAATGCATAAGGTCAAAAATAACAGATTTGTACTTACTCGCATAAATGAATCTAGATTTAGATAAAATAAATTTAGTGCTGATAATTTAACCGGTTTTTGCGTTCTCATCACGAAAAATAAAAGCTCTTTTTTCACTTGTTCTGAAAATTCTATCCAGTCGCTTTCAAAGGTGGCATAAAATATTTTGCTGCTCTGTAATTTAAACCAAAACATTTAATAAAGACTATTTTAATAAAGACGTTTTTAAACACCTTGACTTCCACTTCGTTTCCGTACCAACAGTACATAAAAATTTGCCCTATTATGGCACTAATGTAAGTAAACAACGAATAAAATTCGTTTGAGAAGGGGCGAACCTAAAATAATTTTAGAAAGATCATCTCCATAAAAATATTAATACTTACCACAGTTAATTGAAACATTGTTATGCCAATAGAAATCGTGCTTACAAAAAATTGCATAAACAAAATCCAGTTCAAATAATTGTTACATTTTTTAGCAAAACTAGAAAATGAACTATTAGTATGATTGTGCTTCAAAATTAATTAATTACTCTAGAATTTGTTTATGGTGCTTGAGGCAGTAGCGAAAATTTCGTCCAGCATCAGCTTTGCCATTTGTAGTAAGTTTGTGAAGATTTCTTAAATTATCGCATAAAATATCAAACTGATTTCCATTGTAGACATTTAAAGCACCAGCCAGTGCATCAACACTGACATGTATACTTGACATATAATTAACACTGATGGTTTGGTACACATAAGTAATTTCATAATACGGCGATTTTTGAGCATCGTAAGGATACCAAGCGAGAAAAGGAAATCGTCTTTCTTGTCCCGCGTTGTCCAAAAGAGGGTAAATCGCCCAAAATAAATTCGAACAAATTACAGAAATCCACAAAAACCGAATAAGCCTTTGCCAGAACTTCATATCGGCTTGTATTTCGCTGATTTGTGCGGAATTTCTGGGTTGAAACATTTCAGTTTCCAACATTTTCAATAACTGCTTCAACACTGTCATGTTCTTCATAAGGTAGTAGACTTTAAAAACTAATAAGATTTCGATAAGAAGGATATAAACTGTGCCCGTCACAGCGCTTAAATTGTTGCGAATAAAGTAAATGTTAACAGCTTGGAAAAATATGTGGCCGAGGAGGAAAATTGACAAAACTGTTGAGGCGTAGATCGTATAAACTCCCGGTTTGTAAGTTTCTTCCCCAGAAGGCCATAAACCCACACATCTCAACACTAAAATGTTCATTTTGATCATAGACCGCCAATCAAATTTTTCCATTTTAAAAATATTTAAGACTGGTTTATAAACACTAGTTTACAATTCAACTTTTCGGTTTGAAAGCACGCCCCCGAATGGAAACAACGAAAAATTTTTAGTTTACTTACACCCTTAACATATTTTTTTAATTAAGTTCCACCTACTCATTAGTTGTTGTAGTTATTCCCTAATCGTAGGTAACAAATGTTTTATTTTAACCCTTCAATTAAGTAAAACAATTAATTTTCTCAAAACCTCTTATTAAATTTTTTCTTTTAATATTCAAGCATCAATCTAGTTATAATCGAATGAAAAGACACATATAGATTATTAATAAAGCCAAGAACTGAAAGGGTAATTATCTAAAATATTTCTACATTTCCTTTAATTTATCATGAAACAGTATTATGGGCAAAATGAAAGTTTGTTCCAAAGTTAATATAAATTATATTTCTCTAATTACACTATATAACACTTCTCGATGTATTTTTTTTATGTGTGAAAAATGTTTGCAACCTTTAAATAAATTTTTAAACATTTATGTTATCTAAAAAAACATACCTGCGCTGTTTTTACAATAGTTAGAATTACAAAGTGTTACCTATGGTAAATTTTTGTTTTTATTTACTAAGGTCCAAATGTTTTTGCCTTTTCAAATTCTTTAAAGGCAATAATTTTTTGAGTCATACCTATCCATGTTTTGGATAAAATTTCAGGGCATTTTAGATTAATTTAATATAAGCTAAAGCTTATTCCTAAAATAGGACACACCATTTATGGATTTTTTACAATGCAAAAAAAAGCTAAAAATCACTTAATAGTTTTTTTTTTGAAATTTATGATCTGGTATTGCAAATACATATTAAAATAATAATAGTTATTTATGTATCAAGGGCATAATAAGGAGATTATGGCTGGAAGGAATATTTAAAGCCCGACGTTAGGAGGGCTTTTAATTTCCTGAGAGCTATAATTGATAATAATAATAATTAATAATAATAATTTAATATTTCCGACGAATTTGGTGTAACAATCGAGATTTTGCCGTTGTTGTAGATACCGTATGTTATGGTTGGTTATAAAAAAGCCTAAGGGCATATAAAAGCCAAATTATGCCCGCTTTTGGATGGTTAGAAACAAGTTTATAGTTCCAAAATACAATAAATATAATAAAAACTTTGTTTAAAAACTTTGTATTATAACTATTTATACTTTAAAATGTTTTCCTAATAAGTTGTAAAAGTATGTAGTTCGTTTTCGCGAACTTATGAAATAGAAAAAAAATTACAAAGTAGTGGTACTATTAAAATCACTTTGCAAAAAAAAACTCAGGTGTTTTTTACTGATTGAGTGTTTTATTTTTAATAATGTGCGTAGACAAAAACAGTGGTGCTATTAAAACTAATTATTCTTTTTTCTAATAAAAACTTTAACATTTTATATATGTTTTCTATGTTACTTGATGCAACAAGGCAAAATATGACCAACTTGTTCTCAAAATCTAAAACGAATTTTAAGAATTAACATTTAATAAGCGCGAAAACTTATCACTTTACCCTCATAAATGTATCAAGTGACAGTGAAAATAAATTAAATGCTGATACTTTTATAGGTTCCCGAGTTCTCATCAAAAGAAACACCAAATCTTTTTTTGTCTTTAGTGGAAAATCTGTCCAGCCTGATTCAAATATTGCTTGAGAAATTTTGTCGCTCTAAGAGAAAAAAATCAAAGTGAGAACATCATCTTTGAGTAAACTTACTTTAGTTTGCACTTCGTTTCCAAACCAACAGTATATAAATATTTGAGAAATGATTGAATTGGCGTAAAACAAGAATGAATAAAACTCGCTTGAGAGGGGCACAACCTGGAACACAGTTCGTACTACTGAGCGAAAATTTGCAAAATGTTACCAACTTACAATAGTCAATTGAAACATTGTTACACCAATTGATACGGCACTTACAAAAAATTGTAGAAGTATAATCCATCTGTAAAACTTGTTGACATTTTTAACAAAACTTGAAAAAACAGACTTTTTTTCGGTAGTTTAAGAAATTCTCTCTTACCTCAAAATTTCTTGGTGGTGTTTGATACACGTTATTAACTCTTGTTCCACCGAACTAGGTTTTAAATTTCGCACATTGTTGCATAAAAGGTCAATCTGAGTTCCAACGTAAACGTTTAAAGCCGCTATTAGTGTGTCAATATTAATAATAAGGGCACTCATGTAGAAGCAACTGCAGAATTGAAATCCATACACAATTTCGTAATATGGTGATACTTTCGTATCAACAATGTACCATCCCAGAAATGGTAATCTCTTCTCTTTTTTATCCACCATCGGGAAAAGTATCCAAAACAAATTGGCTCCACCAACCATGGAATGAATTACATTGTAGGTTAATTTCCAAAATTTTAAGCTTGTTTGGACTAATTCTATTTGTTCAACGTTTCGTGGTTGGAAAAGTTTGTTGTTATTTAAAGATTTCATTAAACGTTTAAGCATTTTCATATTTTTCACAATGAAATAAGTTTTAATGACGGCTAGGATTTCCGTTAGAAGGACGTAAGCAGTTCCTGTAAGCGCTTTTACATCGCCCAAAATGAATATGATGTTGATTCCTTGAAAAAATGTAGAAGCCACGAGTAGAGTTGACAACCAAATTGAGGCGTAGAAAGTGTAAAAGTCAAATTTGTAACTTTCGTCGTCTTTAGGCCATAAACCAACGATTTTTAAAATTAAAATATTTGTCTTTATGGCTTGCATCCAATCGTATTTCCTCATTTTATACGCCGTACTACAAACTTTTTTGAAGATCTTTGCCTTTTTATTTATGATCATATTTTTTTTTTAGTAACCAATCAAATTTTCGGGTGGACTTCTGCGCTGTTTTATTTAGTTCAAGGTCTAGACAAATTCTCAACCTTTTTACACGTGGACGTCTTCTCTTATTTTTAATAATTAAAGTTCTTTTTTTGGCAAAGCAATGACATCGAATAAAATAAGTTGGTGGGAACATCGCACTAAATACCAAAATTTCGTCTCTCAAATTAGAATTTTATTAATTAAAAAGACTTACTTATTCTTATCGTCTTTTTTTAAACTGTAACCATTAACTAGTAGGTGACCCTTTTAAAAATAAAACATTTATTACGAGTTTTTGTTTTAACCCCTTAATTTCTATATTTATTAATTATACCAATACCGCTTATTATATATTTTCTTTTAATATTGAATAATTCTCTTGAGATGAACATAGGCTCTAAACATAGATTATTAATAAAGGGAAAAGCGTTGAAAGTGTAATTATCTTAAATAAAAATTTCTTGATCACACCCCTTTTGCGTTTTGTCAACGAGGGGGGCAAAGTATCAATTTCTTTTATAGTGGCAATTGTGTAAAGTGCTTTAATAACAACAGTCTTTGAATTCAACATGTAAATCTAGTACAGTGCACTATGCAAACTTGTTTTGTAAACAAATTTTAAAAACATCTTTTTAAATTATCAAAGGTTAATTATTATGTACTTATTTACAATTGTCTTTATAGTAACCAATGCCTCAAGAAGGAAAAAAGTTAAAGTGATGTTTAAAACAGCTATCGCTGGTAAGTGTAAATGTTTAATACTTGTTTGTCTTAATTTTTGATATTAGGAGTTGTTCAAAATCATTGTAGTTAGTGTCAACTAAAAGGTTTTTTTAAACACATAATAAACGATTCTTTAACATGAATTTGGTAAAAACACAAATTAGAATCCATCTTCGTCTATAATCTTGTCTATACATCTTTATATACTTTTGCAGGACTTTTAAGCAAAAAACTGCATACATTAACGACTTTTAGGGAATTCTAAAGATTTTTTATAGTTTTTGAGAGAATGTTTCATTCTTAAACCATTTTTCTTAATGTTATGTATTATTAAAACTACACTATTCCAAAAATTAAAGGAACAAAAAATTTTCCTAAAGTTTTTGGTGATGTTTGAAAGGCTGTATTTCATCGAAAAATAGTCGTATCTAGATTTAAAAAAAACATTTTTAAGCTTTGAGTTTATAGTTTTGAGTAGATATTCTAAAACAATGCAAAAGCTACTTACTGTTTTCTCTTTTTTTAAATCAATGTTAAGGTGAATTTTTTTTTTTCCAAAAATCAAAAAAGGATCTTGTAAGACATTTATTCTAGTTTTTAACACTACCGTTATATTCTCTGTGTGATCATTGGTTACTGAGATATCGATGATCAAAGACAAAAGGATCCTTTTTCATTTAAAGTCAGATATCTAAACGACAAATTGAGAATATGAAAAAAGCATATTAAAGTTTAACGAACATGCTATCCGGCCTATGCATTGACAACTAAAAAAAATTGTGTTTTTTTTCTCGCGCTATTACTTAGGATTGTGTCCTAACACTAGCACAGAAAAAAAAATTACCAGAGAATCTCAAAACTAGAAAGCTAAAGCTTCCAAATATTTTTTTTTAATCTAGATACGACCATTTTTCAATGAGCTACAACCTTTCAAAAATCACCAAAAAAAAAACTAATGTTTTATTACAGTCCTTCAAGTAAGTAATTTTTTTTTTCTTCAAACCTCGTACTCAAGCATCAATTCTAGGTTATGATCGAATGAAAGGACGCATACAGTATAACAATAATTTTACGCAACATTGCAAAGTCCATAAGTTCAAACAGTACAATCAGTAGGGTTTCCTGAAGTAACAACAACAAATTGTTACTACACCTACGTATATAATCTATCTTGCTTCCTCCTATTGTTGGTCTGCCTATTACTCTCCAACTCATAACAGAAGCAATGCTGTGTAAAATTATTGTTATACGCTATAGAATTATTAATAAAAGTAAGAATTGAAATTTAAAAGAAATAATAACTTATGCAGCAACTTTCTTGTAGTCAATAAGAGGAGCCAAAGAAATTGGCCGTTTGCAAGATTGTGATCTTTTACCAAAAACCACTTTCTAAATTGATAGGGCCTTAGAGGTTAGTTCATATACCGGCGAATGTCATTTGTCGTGGACCAAATTTATTGTCCGGCACTGTACCTACACTTGTTGTGTTGTGCATATTTATTCCTGCGAAATATTACGAAATGCAAAAAGTAATTGTTTTGCCAACTAAGCCAATGGAGAATTGATTATAGCTTTTTCAATAAAACTTCCGGTTTTACTTTACGATTTCGAGTTACGTTTCAAATATTACGTTGTATGTACGAGTGTACTGTACAAGTGAAATTTAATAAATTATTTCAAAAACATTTCCGATATTGCAATAGTAATTTTGAGAATGATCACTGATCAGTGATCAGACATGAAAACACACGTCATGTTGAGAAAAATCTCATAAGTCCTATTTGTCATTTTCTTCTGTCAGAAGAACAATAAGATTGTGTGAGTAAGAACATGCTTGTTGAAGATTGTGGAAAAAGGGACAATAGGTACTAATAAAAACACAAATTTATAAGTATACTATGTGTATTAGAAATAAATACATTAATTTTAACCACATGCAGAACTCGCCAAATATACCTACATCAATTCTTGTTTTGTAAAACTACAAATAGGTATAAATTTTCTAATATTAAATTAAAAATTCATCCTATTGACACTTGCTGTTCTGTTTTCGAGCAATATACAGGACTTTGTAAATTCCTTATTTAAATCAAAAAACTTTTGAAATTTGCATATTAATTGATGATAAGTGATAACCCATTCCCATTCCCATTTTCGTAGGAGAGTAGAAGGAATTAAAGATTATTTGGTTCGCAATCATTATCAGTTAAATTTATTTAACAATTGTAGATTTGACTAGAGGTAACTATAATTTTTTGCATTACTTGACGTCTTTCTACTACTGTAAAGTGTTCACTTGGTGAAGAAGAGCAAAATAGGACCATGCAGTTTTCATAATCTAAAATGAGAAATTACAATTTACGAGTACTCAAAAAATAATAAAATTTACCTTCATAAAAGTTTCTAATGTGAGATAAAACAAATTAAAAGCGGACAGTTCGACTGGTTTTTGAAGCCTCATTATAAAAAATAATAAATCCTTTTTAACGTTTTGGGAAAAGTCGATCCATTCGCATTCAAACAAAGCGTAAGAAACTTTACTGCTCTAGATAAAATTTAATTATTAAAAATATTTTTACTGGTGAGGTTCTACCTTCATCTTTACTTCATTTCCAAACCAAGAATACATAAAAACTTGCATTGTGATGGCAATTCCATATGTTAAATATGCATTAAATTCGGTTGAGAAAGAAACCACCTACAATATTACCCTTAAAATAAATTCAGACAACTTTTGCCTTTACCAAGGTTAACTGAAACATCGTCATTCCGATAGCTATACCACAAATGAAAAATTGCAGAAATAAAATCCAGTTCAAGTATTTGTTACATTTGTCCGCAAAACTAGAATTATTATATTAATAAAATGTCAATTACCTATAAAAAAATACCTTAAAATGTGTTTGTGGTGACTAACACAGTAGGTCAAATTTTGTTTAACATCTACCATACCATTTTTTTCGAGTTTATGTAAATTCTTTAAATTATCTTCCAAAATATCAAATTGACTACCATTGAACACATTTAGAGCCGCTGCTAAAGCGTCAACGTTCACATGTATAGTGGTAATAAAACTGAGACTGAGTATCTGATGCAGATATGTGATTTCATAGAATGGTGTGATTTTGGTATCGTAAGGGTACCAAGCTATAAACGGTAGTCGACGATCTGTTTCGTCAAATAGTGGATACACGGCCCAAAATATATTAACACTAAAGCAACTGTAGGCGAAAGTTTTATAAATTAGCTTCCAAACATGTATATTTGATTCTATTTCAAGTATTTGAACCGAGTTTTTAGGTTGAAACATTTCAGTGTCCAAAATGCTTAGCAGTTGTTTTAATACTGACATATTTGTGATCAAATAATACACTTTTGAAATTAAAAGCATTTCAACTAACAATATGTAAAAAGTTCCAGCAACGGCAGCTACATTTGTTCGAATAAAATAAATGTTAATGCTTTGAAGAAATACTAATGGGAAAACGAATGTTATCAACAAAAATGATGCATACAGCATGTAAAGACCCATTTTATAACCCTCTTCACCTTTGGGCCATAGTCCGATTAATCGGAGCAGGAATAAATTGATTTTGATGGTTGACTTCCAGTCATAATGGTCCATCTTTACCTACAGGAAAATAATTATTTAATAAGAATTTTAGTAACCAAAATATGGTAAATTATTACATGTACTGATAATAAATTACCAACCTCTTTAAATTATTATATTGTTCGTTGTATTTTCAGTGCTATGTTGCGTAGACAACTGAAGTTTCAAATTTAAAATACATATTTAAATGTAGACTTTTTGCCCCTTTTATATTTTTAATAATGAGGTTCAAACTGCTTATTAATGTCTTTTCTCTCATCTTTATTTTAACCTTACAATCATCATAACAATTATTAATCAACAGGGACTGCTTGTTACGTATTTTGCTTATTTAATAATTAAGTTGGTGTTTTACCTATGTAGATAATTACAGGTATTATTTCAATAAAGTTAGAAACGTAATTATCTAAAATAATAATTAAAAATATACCTTGTTTCAGAAAAGACATTTCTTTACTTTTTTATTAAGTGTGAACACAAACATCGTAAAAAAAGTTCTATTTTAATTTTGTTACATCAGACTGCATAAAATTTAATTTATAAGACACGCATAACGCATATGTATAGTTAAATTGTTTCATATATTAAAAAATATGTATTATGTATATACATATTTAAACCATCAAAATGTTGTGAATATTTGAAAACGAAACCGGGTGAGAATTTGGATTCTAAAAAACATTTTAAATAATGTGAACAAGTGTTGACATCATTGAGACGAAATAGATTTTTAAATATTATTTAATATTTCCTTAGTTTTATGTTATGTACTATTTTTACAAACACGTCACAATAAAGTAAATCACTTTTTCAAGAACTGTGTTTAACATTTAGAAGTAATCTACATTATGATGGTCGCTAATAAAATTTTCAGGCGTGAAATAGTTATTTACGTAATTAGTCCACAAAATAAGATTTTGCTGGACAAGTAAGCAAATACAAGAAAAAATCATCAGTCCGGTAATAGTAATTTATGTTATAAGTCTGGTAAGTTAATTATTACAGTTCGAAGGAGCCGAGTTCTTAATATTGATATGAGTACATATTTCCAGAATAACAGATGTTTATTTAAATTTGGCGTTGTAGTTGGTGGTGATATAAGTATGTTGTGAACGGACCACAATTTTTAATTAATTTAATTAATGGTTCGGTCACAATTGAACTTTCATGAATATCTTTTACGCCAAATTAAAATAAAACACGCGTTACAAAGTCAAGTACTATTTTCTACGATCCTTATAGAAGGTAAGTTTTTCTACACTAATTTCAGAAAAAAAAAGTGGTCAATTACCTTTCAGGGAGGTAAAAATTTTACCTCCCTCGTAGAAACGGAAGACATGCTACTAGATTTAATAAGGTCCAGAGTAACTACAGATATCTAACAAATTATAAAAGATGTGACTTTGATTTTTTTATGTGTTAATGTTGATACCTTTTACTAATCATTTACCAAATTTTATTAATGTACATAAACAAACAACTGGTATAAAAAATCGTAAAGTTTCTTTGTTTCGAACACTTCATCGAGTTAATCTTGAGAACCATATTATGTAAACAAATGGCACTTGGACCATATGAAAACGCAAAAAAATATCTACTCAAATTGCCTACTTCAGGAAAAATTTGACTTTTAAAGAAAAAATTAAAAAATGTCAGATTAATAACTTTCAATAGGATGGTTCATTCACAATCGAACATTCATAGATACCTTTGACGCCAAATTTAAAATAAAACACCCGTTAAAAATAACTATTCACTATAAAAATAAAAAAGTGAAAGGAATTTTGTCACATAAAAAATATTCCAATAACGTAAAAAAATTTTCTCAAATCTGATTTCAGGTGTTTTACTGTTATACGCTAATAATTTTGAACAATGTCAAAACATCAAATTGGAGTGTATTTTATCAATTAAAGTGTATTTAATCCTTTATAGTTTACGGCTTCAATTTTTCTACTCACCTAGGAATAATTTATTTTTGTGGTAGCCCTAAAAGTACTTTAATAAGAGGCTGATCGGATGTATATATTGAATTTCATATTGTTCCAAAAAGGCCAAAAAACTTGACATTTGGCATTTTACTGTGCCAAAATTAACAATCCGGTAAGTGTTGCTTTGTTACACTTACCGGCTGTGATACCGTCGTAATAGCTCACTTTCCAGACTCAAAATGGAACAGGAAAGCTTAATCTACCGAACAGTATGAAATAAAAAATATCTAACCAGTGTAGTAACAGTTCGGTAAAAAGATACTTTCCAACCCAAAATTATTACAGTAAATTAGTCTTCACAGGACGGAAAAAACAATTAGTATTATACGGTTTTAGTTTGCGACGTTTAGTAGTGTCATTGATGGCTGCTACGCAATTGCGACCCGCGTTCTTTGCAACCCAACTTGAAATTTTTTGACTTTATACTATTTTTTTGCTATTTACAATTTTAGGGAGTATGGTATTGTTAAAGTTTTCTTTCAAGGAAAAAATGGTTGGGCAAAATAAAACATCAATATTCGTGAAATAATGTATTTTGCTTTTTGTGCAAATTTGTATTTATTTACATAATTTTAAAATGCTCTCCTTAGCACAAAGTAAATTTATTCTTCGATAAACTACATAGACACGTTGTAATTTTTTATTTTTGTTGCAATTGCAGTGTTGTGAGATGGTTATTTTCTAGAACTCACTTGGTGCAGAAGCGCAAAGTAAGACCACGAAGTTTTCAAAATCTACAAAAAAATATTTATTTAATTCTTGTCTTCAGCTTGAAAAATACCATCATGAAAGTATCCAATGTAAGGTAGAACAAATTCAGAGCTGACAGTTTAACTGGTTTCTGTGCCCTCATTATGAAGAAAATCAAATTTTTCTTGACTTCAGGCGAAAAATCTACCCAATTACATTGAAAAGCGGCGTAAGGAATCTTGTTGCTCTGCATTTAAAAACGTAAATTTAATAAGTATTTTAGCAAAAGTCAATATTCTACCATACTTTTACTTGTACTTCATTTCCGAACCAACAGTACATGTATATTTGCAAAATTATTGCCATCCCGTAAGTCAAAAGCGAATAGAATTCAGTGGAAAAAGGAATTACCTAAAAAAATGCATTTTATTAATTTAATTGCATTTATTCGTCACTTTTACTTACTAAAGTTAACTGAAACATCGTGATCCCAATGGATACAGCAAAAATAAAAAACTGTACTAGCAAAATCCAGTTCAAAAAATTATTGCACCTCTCTGCAAATCTAAAAAATGTCATTACTAATCACATATTCTTTCCGTATACCAGTACGTACTTTAGAATTTCTTTATGATGCTTGATGCAAGTGATTAAATTTTCCCTAACACCTAGCGTACCATTTTTGTCGAGATTGTGCAGATTTATCAAATTATCGCAAAGAATGTCAAATTGAGTTCCATTAAAAACATTTAACGCAGCCACCAAAACGTCCACATTTACATGAACAGTTGTGATAAAACTGACACTAACAATTTGATAAACGTAGGTAATTTCATACAAAGGCGTTATTTTCGTGTTGTAAGGATACCAAGCAAGAAAGGGAAGTCGTCTCTCTCCTTCAGATTTATCCAAAAGCGGATAAATCGCCCAAAACATGTTTGTGCCAAAACAGGTGTAAAGAAACGACTTGTAAATTGTTTTCCAAACACGAACCGTTTCGTTAATAGCCAAAATTTGAGTATTGTTCTTCGGTTGGAACATTTCGGTATCCAAAATTCTTAACAGTTGCTTGAACATTCCCATATTTTTTATGAGATGATAAACTTTAAACACCACAAGCGATTCCACAAGAAGTACATAAATAGTTCCAGTGACGGCTTCAAGATTTGTACGAATAAAATAAATATTCGCGGCTTGGAAAAACAGATGACCCATTAGAAAGGTGGTCATCATGAATGTGACATGGAAAATGTAAAATCCATGATAAGTGCCGTCTCCTTTGGGCCACAGCCCCAGAAATCGCAACACCAAAATGTTCATTTTTATGTTTGCGCGCCAGTCATATTTGTCCATTGTGAAAATTAAATAAACAAAGTTTTCGTTATCTGTGTTTCTTTATCAAAACTTTTAATTTGGTCAAGGTTACACCCACAAGTAACAACTGACACTGAACATGTTGAGAATTGATACTTCTTATTTTCCTTAACCCCTTTATGATATTTTTTATTAATTAGGCCCAACCTACTTTTTTATAAGTTATAGCGATGTTCTTAGTTTTCATGTTCACCCTTCAATTAATTTAATCGTAACTACTTATTATATTTTTTCTTCCAACCTACATCTGTAGGCATTTTAATGGAAAGGAAAAACTGATATAGATTATTAATAAGGGCACGAGCTGAAAGGGTAATTACTGAAAATAAAATTTCGACATCACACCCCTTGTATTTTTAATTTGAGTAAACCCCAATTTTTTGTCGAATTGGACGCAAACAATTATCTTTTAGTAATTAGTGTTATGGAAACATCGCAATGAACACTTAAAGTCAAATTTATTAATACGTTCACCAATAACAAATCAAATTCAAAGTCCAGCACACTATAGACCTAATACTGAACATAAAGTGGACCCATAAAACCTAAATCTACTCATCACTTATAAATATAAATAGCAAGATGTCCATTAAAAATTGTCCATTCACTTAGCAATACAAACTTCCTCCTTCATTTTCTATCAGTTGTGCACGAACAAAACTGGCGATTTTATCAGTCAAGGCCAGTTTAGCAATGTCTTTTTCAAAGTCTTCTAACTTCCCAACCCCGACAAGATAACCGTTGAGACGAGCAGCGACGTGGGAAGTTTGCAGAAGTTCGGGTGTCAAGCCTAACTCTTCGCACAGCCAGGTATGTTCTTGCAACCGATATTTTTGATGATAACTGAGAAAAAAGAAACAAGAAATTAAAAAAAGCCTTTCTGACTGAAAGCTTGACTTACTTTTCGGCCGGATAGAAAGCTCCAGCTGGTTTAATTTCAGTAACTAATTTTGTGTTGTGTTTATGAGCTTCTTTTTTCAACGAGATTTCCGCAATACGTTTCTGGTCGTCGTCGTGGTATAAGATCAATGACATGTACTAAAATGTATTTATAAATATTTTTTTTTAATGTTTTTTTCAACTTACTTGTCTTTTGATGATGTTGGTTAAGCCGTACTCGTGGTTGCTCCAAAACAGTTTCAGAAGATCCTCATAACTAACCACTTTAGGGTCGTAGTCAATTTCAATGACTTCAGTATGGTCTCCACTAATCGGAAAAAAAATTTGTTTGAAATTAAAAAATTAAAAATAAGACTTACATTTTTCTGTATTGGGGGTCCAAAGTGGTGCCCCCCGCATATCCGACTCGTGTTCTCAAAACTCCAGGTTGAGCCCCGAAAAGGGCATCACAGGCCCAAAAACAGCCCATTCCAAAAGTAGCCTTCTTGAAAGGGGTTGTGATTTCGTGCAAGAGACTCGGCATGGTTCCTGTGGATGATGAAATGCAAGTTTGTGTTACTGATCTTTTTGTAACTGTATTTATATAAGTTGATTATCCTTAGAATTTCTAGGTCGGGTCAATACTATAAAAAGTCAAAGCTATTATCTTACATTTGGTGATAATTTCTTTATTATCTCATATTGGTATCATTCATAGTACAGCTGATGTAACACTGTTACGAATTTCCTGCACAGGAAGGTCTTTCAGCATTGTTGAGTGGTTTTCGAGAAAGATAAGTCAGTAATCGTCAACAATGACTCTAATGAGATAATTGTGTTTATTGTGTCTGCCGACATATTAATTATGTTTTAACGCTTTGATTGACACGTGGTGAAATTCTATCTTGATGTTTATTAGCAAGGAATTGCAGCATTGAAAACTTCTACTTAGGTATTTGTGTTATCATTTCATAATAAATCATTGTGAATTTTACATCAGAAACACAAAATTTTTGTCAAGATTGTAATTCAAAAATTAAATTAATAATTACTAAATTGCCTACTCGCTTATTTTCTAACATCCATTTTTTTTTCAACATTAATTTGTAATATTTTTAGATAAAAATTTGTAATTTCATTTTTGCACAATCATTGCAGACAAATAAGATTTTTATTTGGTTCTAACGGTACTTTAAATTTTGAAGAGTCATCAATTTGTGCCAAATACTTTAAACAAATTACCTAGAGGCAGGACATGTCGAAGGCCAAATGAAACTTTTGTCCAAGTATAAAGAGATTTAACATTTTTTTCCAAAACTTTAAGTTTTTATGATTATAAAAAATATTTTTTAACCCTTTCACGTACATGATAAAAAAAATTTAATGAGAAAAAGAAGGGCATCTCTTCTATAATTTATATTTTTTTCATTTTACCAAACTAACTTAAAAAAACGGTTTTTGCGCCTAGACTTAAAACATGACAAAAATTTATTAAATTATTATTATTACCTGTGCTTATGCATGGAGCAAAAAATAACGTTATACAAAAATACTGTGATATGTTGTAACATCAAGTTTTTCAAGTTGAGTTAATATAATTGTGTACAATTAAATAGTGAATCTTGAATTAGAAGTTGGTACAGGAAGCAAATATTTGTTAGAAGAGATGAAATTAAGAGAATAAGCGTTCATACCGACTCTGTATTCTACGGTGTTCTTTCAAACGTGTTTCATTAGAAATAACAATTTTTTAAATATTCGAGAACTGAATTATATTCTTTTTTGTTATTATATTGTAAGTGGTAACAGTAGTAACACTCTGGTTTTTCATATAATGTTCTAAACCTACACTTAGTAGGTACTTAGTACCTACACTTAGTTGTTTTATGAAAATGATTAAAATTTATTGCTACTAATTTACAAAACAAAATAGGACCATTTACCAAAGATCATTATCATTATAAATGTAAAATACAGTGCTGCAAAAACATTTTTGCAAAATAACTGAGACAATGTGGAAAAAATGTTTGTGTTGTTTTTATTCATTTTTCACTTTCTTCTCTTTTGTAATTGCTTGCATTTTAAATTATAATTAAATAATTGATAATTTTAGTGTTTTGATAAAACCTATGTAGGTATAATATGTGCAATGTAAACTCAGCTCAGAACTTAATAAACCCTTATCCACGTGTCTCGTTTTGATTGATTTAAACTTTGTCCTGTCTAATTAAATTCTTTGTAATTAACAGAGTAGGTGTAAAAATATCCTAATATTTTTTTGTTAAGTTTTGTTACATTAAATTAAAATCGAACGAAAAATTTTCCATTTCGAAGGCAGATTATTATCTTCACTATTTTCTAAAAACACTGCAAAATCTTAATCTTAATAGTATCCGCCTTTGTATTAAAATTATTGACCTTATACTACTCGAGCGCATCCATCTACTCAAGCATTTCTTTATCAATGAAGAAGTCAACATTCTTAAAATATTCTAACCCAAGCAGAGAGTGGCAAAGATTTTGATAAGTAATCATTCACTTTAACAAATCTACGAACTCAAAAAAATTAATTAAAATAAGTAAGTCAAGTATATGAAACAAGGTTGTTAAAATTGAACCCGAGCTCAAACAATTACTTTCTAATCATCTCTTTAAGATCGGACAAAAGGATGATGAAATCGCCATTCGGCCCGAATCACTTCGCAAAAACGCCCAAGCCGAAGCCCAAGAAAGAGTAATAAGACCGGCCGAGTAAGATTTCACTTTTGGAGACCTTTTAAATGTATAACTCGAGCACTCTCCCATTAATGCCACGATGTAAAAATTGTTCAAAAATTGGTAGAGTGCTTACTTAGGTCCTAGATTCCTCAGCCTTGGCCGCGATTCTCTAATACGATAAATTCACACTTGTGTGCATGCAAGTCGTGCATTGTTTAAAAGTATCACGATGGGAATTTATCGATGTCTTCGTTCTTTTTTACAGCGGCCATAATTACTGTCATTATGAAAAAGAAGAATGTCTGATGCCCTAGGCATCGACGAGTAACTGTTCATCATCCATCACGGAGTTGTCTCTCAACAACTGAACCACTTTTTATTTTTGATTTTTTTTAGAGCGCAATTGAGGCTGTGCGAAATTTTTGAAAAGGAGCCAAACGAAAGCACATGCTGAGAATCTCTTAACGAGTCCAGGTTTTGCGAAAACGGGAGCAGGAAACGCGCCAAAAAATTACTCTTGACCCACAACTATCGTAAATTTCTATGAAAGGTAAATGTTTTATCAGTTTCGTCAAGTTTAGGGAAATATTTATTGCCCCGAAGAAGGTCACTATACTTTACTTAACCATGAATATTTTTTTGAAAAAATTTGGAGGGTCGCTGTTCAGAATTTTTTTTGATTAGGTATTCGACTTTTGTTACCTAGATTTAATAAAAATAAAATAAAATAGGGCTTACCTGTATCTTGGAGATTGTTTCTTGTCTTGTAGATCCGTACAACCAGCTCGAACGACAGCACTTGTGAGATTGTGGAGTCAGTTTGAGTTTGTTCTCTTGCCGGTTGATCGTTTTATTATAACAATCGAACAGAATTCACGTGATCATGCAAATTTTGACGCCTCTCGTGTGGATTATATCATTGTAAAAACAAATTAAATAAAGCAAAGATTTTCGCCATAAAGTAATTTATTCATATTGAAGAGATTTAAAATATGAAAAAACACAAAACAGTCTATTGTGTTTTGTGGAAATATTTTGGCTAGACCGAGCGAAAAAATTCTTAAAAACTTTTATATGAGGGAAATTAACTATACATAGATGATTGTAATAACTACAATTAGCATAAAATAAAATTTATCTCAGTGAGTAACAATGGCAAATACATAATTATTTCATTATTTATTTTTTTTAAAGTACAAACAGGCAATATAAACTTTTTCATGATTATAGTGCCAATTTTTATCCATATTATTAATATTTTATGAACCAAAATTTGCAATCTAGCTTAATTAAAAATGAATCAATCTTAGTGAGGACCTTTTTATCAACAGCAATCATTTACCACTAGACGAAAAAAAAATGAGATTTTAATGTAGGTACACATTCTAGCCAATTTAGATATAAATGTTAAAACAGATAGAGAAAATTTAATACATTTATTAGAATATTGTTCACAAGAAATTATTCGTGTAAACAATGATACCTCTTTTACTTTATTTGTGTTTTAAATAATTACAGACATTTTTATGTTACTTTATCTCAAATTGCAGTTACAAAATAAAAATTAATAAAAAATTGTTGACTTTTGATTGAATATGTTGCAAGATTTATTTTGCACAAATTAATTTTTGTACAAAAGTATGTGTTGCGCAAAAATCAGGTAAGAAAGCAGTTTTTTATAAGAAAAATTCCCAAACTGTGCATAAATAAATAATAAAAATACAAGTCTGTGAAGTTAAAGGTCAAAGGTTTGTTTTAAATTAATTTCCAATTACTGAAGATGCTGTAAAAGATTATTACATACTTAACAATTTTCATTATCAAAGCAAGATTAAAAATGTAATAAAGCTTCTATTTATAGAATTAGCAGAACAAAATAGAAAATGTATGAAGTAAAACCCGTTTTCTAAGATTTCATAAATTGTATTAAGGTAATAAATAATACGAGGGCCAAGCATGAGCTGTAAAGTTAATAGATGTATAGCTAATGCAATAAGGATGTAACACCATAAACGATATAATACAGTAGCCTCATGCACGCAATATGAATTAATATTTCAATTGTGATGTCTAGGAGAGTGATTAATGAATGTGAATTAAAGGCACATGCACGATGTGACTTTAATCAGTGGTTAATTTTTGAGGCGGCCGAAGAACTATGAATAAATTGGAGGAAATTGTTTTAAAAATTTACGCCAACAAGTAGCCGAAAGACTCACATCAATTAGTACAGATTTAGCTAATAAATCTTTTTCGGTTTACATTGATAATTTGAAAATTATGTTGATTAAACGTTTGCAAAATATTAAAGGCTTTTTCCATTTATTGTTTACATTTTTGAAATTATCGTACCAAAAAAATCAAAACATTTATTAACTTTGTTATTGTTACTTAATTACGATTTTTACGAAACAGATATTATATTATCTGGCATATCTTTTCCATTTGCGAAAGCAATTTCTTAGGTATTCATCATAATAAAGGGAAAACGTGTTCAATCTTGATAGTCAACCAACAATACACTCAATATAAATTTGTTTTTTACGGAATTTTATCTGTTGCAGAACTCACTTTTCTCGTGATTCTAAATTAAAGTCGTTCAAATATTGTTGTTTCCTTAAAACGCCTTCACTTCACAAATACAGTTTTTGAAATTAGATTCGACTGATGGTAAAAATAAGGAGAGGGAGCAAGTCGGCACAACAAAATAAAATTTATTCTAGGAAAAATTTTGATACAAAATTCATTATAACGTTTGTAATTTGTATAATGTAACAACTAGTATTAAATAAAAATTAATTTATACACTATTCTAAGAATAAATAACAAATAAAAAGTATGTACACCAGTTTCTGCCATGTAGCTGAAGTACTCATCATATTTACATACATAATTATTGCTATATATCAAATTAAAACAAAAACAATATCATGGTTAAGCTTGATATTTCATTTTAAAACAACAGTAACTCGAAATTAAGGCCTCGTTTTAAAAACTTAGCCTATCGAAAAATTTTTGAATTTAGAAAAATAGGCACTTATATTTGTTTTTGTAATGAAAGACAATACAACAAATGAGTCTTTTGTTCATCAATACCTGACTAATAAAGGTTTATACGATAATAAAAATACAAAAAAGAAGTACAAATTGAATAAGGACCGTCTTAAAAAATATTAAGTACTAATAATAGTCTCCAAAAACTGGAAGAAAGTCTCTAAAATACGAACACCAATCACATTAAATTAAGTACATGATTTCGCTTAGGCAAAATGACTCTTATCACAAGTTTGGAATGTAAACTTTAAAAAACCTAATACTGTCTACTACTGGATAACACAGCACCTCTTGGACTTGGAATAGCCAACATTTTCCTCGGCAGTCTCTCCAGTGAATCGGACGATATCTGTGACAGGACTGGGACTAGTCTCGTCTGTGACGCTGCCCATTGGCGACGTGATGCTGTTAACATCTGAAGAATTGTTCCTAATCTGCATCCGCTGCTTCTTGAGGTCGGCCAGAGTGCCGTTACCGTTAATAGTGACGACCACGTGAACGGTGACTTTTCCGTTAACGTCAGTTGTGTAGGAGTTTTCTTTAGTGTCCATTACATGATTTTCCAGCATTGAATCGTTGTCTTTTCCTTCAGGAGCTTTACGGTTTTCAATAATTTGCAAAGCGGTGGAGTCCTCTTTCACCGGTTCAGGGTTGTTGTTTGTACTGTAAGGGGTGTTGTTGACCGGTGACTTGACAGGGGGCTGGATAGGAGGACTAGGCTCCGAGGTGTCCAAACCCTTTAAATTTATTAAAATTTTTAATTACCGCAGCAAAAATAAAATATTGTTCTTGTTTCACAAACGCTTAAAAATTTTGAATTTCGATAAAATGTTTATGAAAATAATATTTCTGATCGGCTTTATCGGCAACTTACTTTGTACGATAAACACACGATCGTATTTTTCTTTTTCTTCATGCTTCCGAGTGCACGTTTTAGCACGAAACAGACTCACTAACTGCGCAAAGTAAACAGAATTTTTCGTAAAACATTCAGCTAAAATTATACAACTTGAATTTCACTCGAGGAATTTATTAAATTCATAGCGCACACGAGGTAAAACTCCTAACATTTCTAGCTGCTGTTTCTTCTAATAACTTTCGTGTTATTCCATATGTTCAGTGATAGGAAATAATGAAATTCCGCTTGATTTCTATAAATAAAATACAATTTTGTTCCACGATAACATCAAGATGATATAAATTAAGAAAGATAGATTCGGTGAAATCGTTTGGTTTTCCATTAAACAATTAAATTTTGTTTTCATTACAGATACATTACGCTATGTGCAATTGTTGTTATTAATAAAAAGTAAAAGTCGTTTGACATAAGAAATTACATGTATTTATGTTATGATTAACATTAGTTACACGCCGGTGGGATTGCATTTGGCAACGGCGATTGCATTAATTGCAGTGTGCATTCAAAATAAATAAATAGCTTATGAATATTTGATTTACGCTAAATACCAACAAAATTAAAATTGTTACAGAGTTTGTAATAAATTGCTCAATTAAGTTTGTACATCCGCTCAAAAACAACGCAGGCAATTAGTAAATAAAAATGTAAAGCAACCATGCATCAAAAAACTCAATGTAATAATTATAGATATTTTTTAATGAGAGATAGCATCATTTGTGATTGATAAAATAAATCAGGCCACCGTTGACCGGTAAAGCAAATATTGTATTTTGCAAACAAAGATTTATTATTATCATTACTGTCATATTTATCATTTGTCTGTTAAAATGTCTGATGTAATATATCCAAAAGCGACAGCACTGGAGTACGGGTTGTCAACAAAATTATGATGAATCTATTTTTACACAACTCTGATTTTTAACATTTCGAAAAGAAATATTTAATCATAAAGAATAACGTTAATGTTGTCATCACATAACATTTTCCCAATTTTGTAGAAATTAGATAACAAATCCTCGTAAAAAGAAAACAAAATTATCCTTCGAGGTCGAACCTTTTAATCAATTAACTTAAAAAAGTCTGATAACTAACGCCCACGTATATCGGAAAAACGTGCCCTCTTTTATTTTATTCAATTGATTGAATTATGTTTTGCAGAGGTAATTTTTGTTGATTGGAATTTTAGTAAACATCATTGAATCAAATTTTAATCAACATTCAAATCAAATTTTACATTTAATAAAAAGATTAGCGCTGGCGAGTTTTAAGGCCAAAGTTCATGTTCGGTTATACAATCGATTACATGCAAATTGATGCCAATAACTCAGTTATGAACGTCTGAAATTTTCATCCACATTAAATGCAAGAAAGTGCATTGATAAAAATTGTTTTTACACAACAGAAAAGTTTTAATTATGTATTATGTGTTGCCTGATTTAACTTTATTACACGAATAAAGTAACTTTCCAAAGAAAATTTCAAGTTATTGCAACATAGACAGTTGAAATCGAATTTCTACGAGTTCAGTGATGTGAATTTATATCAAACTGGCACACAAGCGTCAAATCCGCTTTAAGATTAATGTTGGTCGCACACTCAGAATACTGAACTAAAAGAGACAAACATATTAAACTCAAATTAAACTAGACAGATGCGGGGAGTCATCTCTGCAATAAGCACACACTATAAAAAAATAAAATTTAATTAGAAAGAAACGTACTCAATCTTGTTAAAAACCAACAATGTTTGTAATTTTTTCTTATTACGAAATCATCCGTTAAAATGCTCTCAACAACAATATTATAAACTTCAGTCATAAAAACTGTCCCGAGTTTATTAAAATGAACATGGAAACTTCATTTTCTAGACAAACAAAAATCGTGTTTTCTCCATTTTCAGAGTGCAAAAGTTTGTGTA